CACGCAGGAAAAATCCACAGTCATTTTTTTTCAGACTGACACATAAAACTGCATGGGAAGTTGAAGTGAAACTATGGCTAAGAGTTTCAGAGAAGCAGCCATCACTGAGTTTGATCTATCAAATGGGATTGTTTTTCATTGCCCAGATGATGGTAAGTGACAGGAGGCTCTGCCTTTGCAGGACATCATCACCTGGATAAGGGAAAATTCCACAAACCAAGACTTCCCAAACTGCATTTGATGATGTGATCCTGTGTCATCGCTCCAGCGATCTATTGATCTGATCTATTGCTATGGTTTACCTTAAGCTACATACAAAACATCTCCTTCATTAAATGTGTAATAAGACTGTAGTACGTGATGTTATCTGCATAGGCAGGAATAATTTCTCCTGATTACCAGCAAGTGTCTTACCCATAAGCAAATTGGTCATTTCTGTGGCAGCAACTGCTTGAGTCAGCTGTGTGAGCCAAGTCCTGACCCCCAGTTGCCTGTTGTCAGAGCCCCTCAGTTCAGATGCTTACTACCCAGGCTGGTAGTTAAAATGACAAATGGTGCTTATCAGTTGTCTTGGGTGCAGGAGGAGCCTTTTGAGTAATCTCTTTAGGCTGCCTGAAATTCTTCCACTGAGAGGTCCTATAATAGTTAATCAGATGTGTTGTTCTGAAGGAGCGGTTCAGCCAGTAACCTTGTCTCAGGTCATCTTTCCTGTCTTGTATGCAGAGACTGATAGGGGGCAGGTCCTGGACCACACAGCAAACTGATGAGTAAGTGCATGGGGTATGTGCAGAGGCAGTTATACCAGAACTGCAGTACAAAGTTAAATCCCCAGGTCAGAATTATAAATTGAATTTGCATAGATTGTGCCACATTTTGCAGGTATGCTTGAAGTGCTAAGTTGGTATCATTTTTATCAAGCCCACCATTTTTAGCACTGTACTTAAAACAAATTTTCAACAAAGACAACTAATAATCATTAGCTTTTAACTTCATTCTTTACAGATATTTATGGCTACTAAAACCTATGGTCTCAGTCTGTATTTTAGTGAACGGAATTTGAGCTGTACAAATGACAGAGGACACTGCTGTCACATAGTTGGCCTAAAACCTGGGAGATTTACTGCCATAGTTGTCCTGATAAAGGCAGTTCTTATGATAGAATGCATCTGACTATACTTGTGTATGGGACCTGAAGATTCCATAGTGCTTTGACCTTTTCCTAATGTTTATGGGTTCTTTTCAGAGCACTGTCTCTAAAATAAATAAAATTTTAAAAAATTAAACTCTCACTTTATCCGATTGTCTCCTGAGCTAATGTACAAGGAGACTTTGCCATACCTGTACCATAATTCCTGTAGGTAGACATTAGTGACAAATAAGTAATGTCCTGTTGTTTAAGTGAATCTTAAATTTATGAAGCATTTGTTGACTCATCCACACATACGGTACTATAAAAATGCTCTGAATAAACCACCTTTTTCAAAACAAAAATGACTAGTGCTGTTTAACTTTGTGAGCAGCATGGATGGTGGGATTGAGTCCACCCTTGGCAAGTTTGCCAACACCAAGCTGAGTGGTTTGGTCAGCACACTGGAGGGAAGGGTTGCCATCCAGAGGGATGTGGGTAGGCTTGAGAGGCAGACCTGACCTGTGAGAGCCTCATGAAATTCAGCAAGGCCAAGTGCAAGGTCCTGTGCATGGGCCGGGGCAGTCCCAAACACAAACTGGAAGAATTCATTGAGAGCAACTCTGCAGGTAAGGACTTAGGGATGCTGGTCAGTGAAAAACTTCTTACAAGGGCATGTAGCAATCGGACAAGGGAGAACCACTTCAAATTGACAAAGTAGGTTTAGATTAGATACCATGAAAAATTCTTTAGTGTGTGGGTGGTGAGGCACTGGTACAGTTTATCCAGATGCCACATCCCTGGAAGTGTTCAAGGCCAGGCTGCCTGGGGCTTTGTGCAACCCAGCGTGTTGGGAAGTCTCCCTGTCTGTGGCAGGGGCAGTAAAATTTAGATAATCTTTAAGATCTCTTCCAATATAAAAGATTCTATGACTGTATGATTCTATGATTTCATCCCCTCTATCCTAGCCTATGTGACTGGCAAGCTGTGCTCTCTTCAAACGATCTGCTGCTAAAAGCACATAAAACAACACTGCTTTTATAAGTTCCACTGTTTCAGTGTCAGTTACATGTCTCTTCATGAGCTGTATAGGAAACAGCTGATTGACCTGGAGAGGTTCGATGCAACACAATCCTCTCCTTTCACAAGTTCCATAACTAAATCCCTCTGCACAAGAGCAAGGGAGGTTTCTCAGGTGGAGTGGGTTGCATGTTAGTTAGAATCGAACAACTCCAAAACGGAGATGGAGAATTTTTGGATGTACCAGGTTGAGTATCGTAAGAAAAATGTAAGTAGAAATTCAGGGGAAAAAGGGATAGCTATCACGTTTTTATTGCTGCATGTAAAAAAAATCTAATTCCATTGATAGATCTCTGTGCCTAATAACAGTGTGCATCATGTGACCTTACTGTGTTTGTTCTAATAACAACTTCGTTAGGCTTCTAAAACTTGTTTTGTTAATAACAAATGGCAGTAAAACAGTTGCTAAGCCTTTTTTTTAAGCCTTTGTTTAGAGCAGGTGTGCAAATTATCTATCCACTATGATCCATCAAAATATTTCTTGTTATTGCTGTGACTGCATTCTTTCCTTGTACAGTACCTCTAAAAACACATTTTGGTGTCAAAGGGAACTGAGTGTTAATTCTTCAAAGACTGGACTTTCCTGTGCAAATGTTTTCAAGGACAGCTCTCACGCACTGTCTTGCAGCAGACTTTGTAAGATGTTTGATACTTGGATTTGGTAGTTCTAGTTCTTGGCTTGGTTTGTTTGGTTGTTGTTGTTCGGGGGTTTTTCTCACGCAAAACACACATTTGAGCAGCCGTTCAAAGCAAGTGCATGGAAAGCCATGTAATTACTTAGTTCTGATACTTTACAGATAAAAGTACCTGAGTAAAGGCACTTATAGTGCTACTGGAGTAACTGCTAGTACATTTCAAATGATGTGCAGTTTCTTAATGCTAATTGTCTGGTTTAAATGAAATCATTAATCTTTATCCTTCAGTATGTGAATATGAGAGTTTTCAGCCATTGTAAAGAGCGCTTTTGTGTGTGTGCACTTACACATACCATGCTTAACTTGATTTCTTTGTTTCTTGTTAAAAGAATGCTCTTGAATGATACAATGTCTAGATGCCATTATTGCATAGATAATATAATGCACCTTTTAAATTTATTCCTAATACAGAAATACTGTATAATAATAAGAATGTGAGCACCTTGAAAACTCTTCCTTATATAAATAGGAGTTGCCATTTGTGTAGTTGCATCACTGTGACACTCTTGACTGGTAGTTATACAGCAACTCAAGGGAGCTTGTATCTCTCCCACAGCCCCTGCTCACATGCTCTGTGTGGCAAGTAATTTTTCAGTCTGATGATGCAATCACATGCCAGTTTTCTGGGGATTGTTTCACAGCCGTATAATTTTCTGTCTTGCAGTTGTGATTCGAAATACAGGAAGATGCAGGGACTGCTCTTTAACACAGGAGATATCTGTAAAGAATTGCTTCTTAACTCTTTGGTAGCATTTATTAGTTAACTATAATTTTAATATTTAGTTATTATCTGAGATAGAGGAATGTCTGTAAAGAGAAGTAAGTGGAGAAGGGAGTTATGTTTTTTTGTTTCATTTCATATCTAAGGAAGGCTAAGAGAAACTTAGATGTTTGGGTTTTTAGTTATTGTTCCTGGTTTGGTTTTGTGGGTTTTTTGTAGACTATTTCATGGAACTCAGTTTTTCAGCTGCAGTAGATGCAGAGCATGAGGGTGGAGCTGCTGCCAGCTCAGACCACTGGAAATGTATCCCTTTTCTGATATGACTCATTGGCTCAGAGAAAAGCTATGTCATACTGTTTATGAAAAGATAAGAATAGCATTTGACTTGTTTTGCCATCAGTGATGAACTGTTGAGCTGGCACAGCTAGAGCTGCATTCTTCCTATGTTACAGGAGAGTGTAGAATGCCAGGGCTATTGGGCTGAATACCCAACTGTAGGTAAATGCTAAATTTCCCTTTTGAGGATTTTCATTTTTGCTTGGGCAGATATATTTTCTAGGTAGCTCCTTAAAATCTGCCTCTAGAAATGCCTGCTGGGTTAAAGCTTTGTACTCTTCCATTTTGGTCACCTTCCTTAATTCCACATTCTGTGTTCTTGTGTCACACCCTCATCCCAGGGCCCCTACTCTGTACTTCAGATACCTTGCTACAGTTTTTTCTCATCACCAGCATTCATTAGGAATTGTCTGGGATTAGAATATCCTTTCCCAGAACATTCTTTCCCTTTATCAAGATGCTTGTTGATCAATCACATAGACAGTTTCTCTATGAATTGTTTATGGAAAAAGGAGAAGAATGAGGAAATCTGATCTAAAGAGCATGTACTGAGCTGACAGCATGAACTGTTGAATATTTTCCAAGTCTTTACTGTATCTAGATTGAGGAATTCCAGTCCTTGATTACATTGGTACTGAATTGTCATTGAATATATTAATAAATAGTTGAATACATCAATATTACTCTGCACAGTTTATGAAAGTTGTTTTCTAAGATAATGGAATAACCCTTATGGGCAACTGCTGTGACCTTCCTCTGCTCAGATCAGATTAGTTTAGCACTTCATGTTAGTAATATCTGCGGGCCTGGGTGCTTATGGGGAAGTTTCAGTCTTTTATTCATTTCTCCCAGTTTGACAACTAAATTAACTTTAGCTGAATTCCTGTGTGCTGCTTAAGGTCACTTTTCTCCCATCACAGCTTACTCTTAAGTAACTTTACCTTTTCTTTATTAGAATATCAGAGCATAAGATATAGAAAATGAAAGAATAATTTCTACATTGGGCACTCAAAATAACTTTTGATTTTCTTGCCATGTCTAGTCTCCATCTCCAGATTCCTCTTCACCTCGTGGTGCTGAATCATCAAGCAGACAACATCACCAGGATGTCTGCAGTACAGCAGAGGCTTCCACTAATAAAGAGGTAGAGTAAAACCTTTTTAAAGGCCAAGTCTGGTTCATGCTGCTTATGCCTTTTAATTTTCCTTGCTCCTTGTACCTGTGCAATCCGTTTTCTTCTTTTTTCTTTTTTATGCTTTTTTACCTTTTGCTTGCCCAGCTGTCTGAGTGAATTTCTAACGTACTGAAGACTCTTTGTCATGGCATTTCTGACTCTCTGTTCAGCTGTCACTAAATTTTAAAATTTGTTTAACAGGCTGCAGGGTACAGATTTACCAAACAGCCAACATCCCCTCTGTAGCAGAGACAAAACAAAGAAGGCTTTTCCTTTTTTCCGTCCACTAAGAAAGAGTATTTGTCAGCCAGATGAAAAAGGGCTTAAATTAAATTATTACATAATAAATTATGCTGCTTAATATATTGTCATTGTAGAAACTGGCCTGCAAGTGATTCTTAGTCAGAATTCAATTCCTGACTTGAGGCTTCTCAGAATAAAGCCACATAGTTTGGGATTTTTCCCCTTACCTGGTAGCGCTTTAGGCTGCAGGACTTCCACCAAAACAAAATGAGCATGAATAGAGCTGCTCATAGTGTAAAAAAAAAATTGAAAAAGGATTTGGATTTGGATAGAATAGCAGAGGCAAATAAACCAAATTTCTGTAAACAGAAAAATCTGCAAAAATTTGGTTTATATGCCTTTTTTTCATAAACTTGAAAACAATCTAGAAACTGCCATAATAAAATATCATATTGTTACTGGTAGCAATGGATGAGTTATTTTCCAAAATTAAAAACCTGATGTACTATAAGAGGATTTAAAATGAAAGACAAATAATCCATTTGTTCCTTTTCACTTTTGCAATTATCAAGGGATAGAAAAACTTGTAAGATGTATGTAATTGTGTCACTCTGCATTTGCATTTACAAAATAATGAAAAATTTCAAAAGACTGAAGAAACCCATAATTTTTCATATTCTGAAGTTTTCAACTATAGATCATGCCTTTAGGTTTTCCTCTGCTCCATATTAGCTTATTAAAGCCTTCAGCATTCTTTGCTACAGACTTTATCATTATGTATTCTTTATTTTAGCTATTTTTAGGTATCAGCAAACTTCTCCAAAGAAAGAAAACAAACAAAACACTGTTGATTTCAGTTGTTAGGATGTGCTTACTCAAAGTTACAGAGGTGGTAAACTAGGTTTTACTGTAGAATATATTGGGCTATTAGTTTCCCTCAGACAGGGAATAATTCCCACTTTAGTATTTCTAATGCAAGAATAAAAGTGATAAAACAGCCTCATAAATTCTGGATTTTTAGATCTTAGAGAAACATTTTTATTAAATATAAATTTATAATAGCAGATGGCAACAAGATTATTGAAAGTAATAAAATATTAATGACCTTGATGTTTCATTATTCATGGCTATGTAAAATTAAAAGGTGTAGGTTTCCACCTATTGGTAACTTTACCTGTTACTTTACTCTTCTAATGGTTTTTGTAGAATGCCTTTCTACCTGGGTAATGAACAAGAAAAATTATGTTTGTGAGTGGGAATAAAGATATACATGATGGTGGTTTGCACCACTCTGTCCTGAAAATTAAGTTGCTAGTTAAGGGTGCTGAACAGCTGCTAAATCTGTATCAAAGATATTCTTCACTGCTTAAAAAGAAATATCCTTTGTAAAGTACTTATGTATGTGAGCTGCCTCTCGTTTATAGGGGATTTGTCCTCTATGCATGTCAGACCCCAGTGTTTGAATGCCCCCTTTAGCACTACAACAGCAACTATTGCAAACACTTTTTGGAGTCTATATGGATAGGTGGAATGCTCCAGTAGGAGCATTCATCTGAGGAGGTGAAAGAGCCACAGATGTGAAAGGCATGTCAGTGTTTTTACAGCAGCTTAAATGTGTTGGCAGCAGCAGATCATTGATTATTGACATCTTTATTGATGCTAGTGCAGAACCTGATGGACAGGATTCTTGGATTCTCAAACAGCTTAGTAATTTTCATAGGGAATGAAAAGAACTTAAAACTTGCATAGACTCAGTTTTCTGTGTCACATGCCTTTTGTTTATAATTCACAAATTTTGTTTTGTAGCAATACATGCATCGTTGGTTAAAAATATTATTTGTTAAATCAATTTTCCATATCTTACAAAGAAAAATACTCCTTGGGGTTAAGTCAGTCAACCTGCTACATAATTGTCACCTTTCTTGTTTTACCTGAGTTTTCCACTAGTTCCTTGTAAGTTGCCTGCTGCAAAGAAAAATAATTTGGCATCTGTTTCTACGTACCTCATCTGGAATGGTGCTTAAAATTATTGAAGATTTTATGCATTATTCTGATCATGTGTATAGATTTTCTTTTAATAGAATGATATTGGAGGAGTTACTGATAGTACAATCAGTCATAAATTCATTAACTATCCACTTACCTGCCTATGATAGCAGCAGGTATTTCAGTATATCCATTACAAATTATATAGTGCCACACACAATTTTGTTTGATAAATTTTTGTATGTGGTTTATGTTATTAATTAAACAAAGTGGTGAACCTTACCCACTGAAAGTTGTAACCGTCAGATATCTGAAGGGTTAGTCTCATAGTCTTTCACAGAAAATACCCTTAGGATGTATGGTATTACTTTAGTGTGTGTATTTACATGCACAGGTCAAGGTTCTATTTATTCCTTCACTATTTATGTAATTGGTGCTACCAAATGTGCTTTTGTGCTCCAAACCGTGTAAGCCAGTTGGTGCTGAGGTCATGGTGAATCCCGTTATCTCAGAGAATAGAGGCTGCTCCCTAACCTATTAAAATCTAGAAAGCTTTTTGTAGGCCCTGTTAATGTGAAGGATACATCTAAAACCATTCCTAATGAATAACTGTATTTTATTAAGGGTAGTTTCAGTCATGAATTATAACAGTAAAGTGCAATTTTTATATTTCTGTATGCATTTATTTCTAGTTGGAAGATCTAGTATCTTTGAGGTATTATGTACTTTCCTCCATATTTCTTGATTCTTAAAAGTAGTGCACGTGTTGGTGGATAATTAATGCACTAGTGAAGACCAGCAAGTAAGTGAAGTCTGGTCTTACCGTATTGTCTACTAAATAGACACAAATGGAATACATTGAATTTACATAGTAGGTGCTTAGATCTTGAAAAAAATAAATGTAAATGTTAATAAGTGGTTCTGTCTTTACTAATATCTATGGCTAATTAAAGTTTGGGTTTTTTTGGCATGGAGAAATTTTTAATGCATATTTGTGCATGCTATATTCTGTTTGAAATCCTTTTTGTCTTAATTACAGTCCAGAAAAAGCTTGGCTTCATTTCCAACGTATGTTGAAGGTAAGATAGTTCTACACTTTCTAAATGGTTTTTTTCACATCAAAAAACCCACCTATATTTATAAGGCATAAAATTTTACTTTTATATGCTGAATAGAAAACTACTAGGGTTGGGTGTACTGATTTAGATTGTGTCTAGTTTGGAACCTGAGCTAAATCCTACTGTGCTCCTTCAGAAATTCAGAAACATGGAGCTTTTAGTTTTTTGATGTTTCATTCATTGTTTCTGTATCAGTTATGCTGGTTTTTTCCCTCAGTATCACTTAAAACACTGCTTTCTTTATGGTATTTGCACAACACATAAGAATGTGTGTGGACAAGGAAATTAGACTAAGCAAGAAGACTGTAGTGCTCTGTCTGGCATTGATTTCAGTTGGCAGACTCAATCTAATCTCAGCTGGATTTATGGACAGGCCTGCCAGTGAAAATGTGCTTTGTTTAACAGCTACTTGCCTCTTTTTAAAATACTGCATCCCATCTCAGAGTTAAGGTTTCAGTGGTGGTAAATTTTTTCAGAACAATGTGAAAAAGCAAGTTACCTGTCCCATGAACTGTTACTTTTTGTATGAGTCTGCATCCTTTGTCTTCTGCAGGAGGAGCACAAGTTGTGTGCAGTTATGACAGAAGCAGAAAATAGAAGTGTTTTTTACTTTTCCATTGACAGTGGTTGTTCCATGTGCTTGATAAAATTTTAGAAATACAGTTGATGTGATACTTGCTTTGGACTTCCTCATCACTCTTTGGATTGCTTTACAGTGTACTATGTTTAATTGATAATGTGATCATTTTCTTTAGACTGCAAATTGATTGTTGCTTTAGTCTTCAGGGTATGAGCTGCCTGTTTTGGAATCTCTGTCCAGAATGTCAGTTAGTTCATAGCTAAGCATTGGAATTTTGGAACAATGAAGGATCTCTCTTAGAATTTAAGTTCATCTCCTATTGATAGTCCTATCAAGGGACTATATATTCTATAAATAGGAATATAGATTTATATTTTAAAAGTAATTGTCTTCACCTTAGAAAAAAATAAATTGTACGCTAAACTTTTCTTGGTGCTTGGTCCAGCACAAAATTCCTTAAAATTACAATTGTTCCATTTTTATGCACCAGCAGTCCAAGGAAAAATTTGCCAGCACCTATGTTATGTTTTCATTGAGGTAATAGTTTTGTTGTCAGAGATAATAAAAGGAGGAGGTATTCTAAAAAGCAGTGCTGTCTGTGTGTTCACCTCTGATGCAATTGGAGCATTACTTTTTTTGGGGTTTAATGTGCACTTTCTTAGAGTCTTTTACCTTTGCCCATGTTTTTCCCCTCATTTTGATCAGAAATTGTACTATAAAAAGTTTTGCACCTCTTTAATATAATGGTGGAAGTGGTGAAAAGACCTTGATGTGTAGAGTAATAGTAACACTTAGAATGCTGTGTGTGAATTCTGTGTAAATATGTAGTAATTCCAAATGCATGAATTTCCCTAAGGAAATAACTCAATTTCTTTAGGTCATGTGCTTGCAAATGACCGTTCATTTTGAGAATTTTCAAGATACATACTGACTGAGCAAACTGCACACTGGAGATGAGCATCTTAAATTTGCTAGTCATAAATTTTTGTATTTAAAAAAATGATAAGGAAGACAAGCCTGCTCACAAGATTTTTTCGTGTGCTTCTGTCTGTGTGTATAGTTTCAGTGTGATATTTGTCTCCAGATTTTTCTTTTTTGTTTCAGTCATTGTAATGACTTGCTTTTCCTTGAGGCCAAAGTCACCCAGGCTCATTCTGAGAGGTTGTTAGTCCTCTATGTTATCATTAGAACAAAATTGGCATTCTTAGTAATTTCAAACTTAAAGCCCCATCACCTTATAGTACAAGATACCCCTTGATTTTAGAGGTAAAAAGAAAGACAAACATAAACACAAGTGTTCTGTGATAAAATGTGAACATATTTACCATGAGCATTCTTTAATATGATTTATATGTAACTTGTCTTGAGGAACAATTGTTTTCCCTTACTTTTAAGAGCAGGAAGTTTCTTAAGTTAATCAGCCTCACTTTTGGATCACGACAGTTTTAGTGTGGTGTCAAAATGGAAAATTTTAATGTATAAAATTTTTAGATAAGGCTGCCAAACATTAAAAATCTTACAAATCATAAGTGCTGCTTTGTAAGGATTTGCATTGCTTGGTTATGAACACTTTACACCTCATCACTTTCCACTTTTCCAGAAGTTGATGGGTGTTGGATCTCTAAGGATCTGTGGACTGAGTGTTGGTTTGCCGTCAAGAGAGCCCATGCTCTGTGTATTTAATAACATTTTTATTTAACTCAGTACCACAGTATCCTTGTTAACACTTACTATTTTTAAGCATCTGTAGCATAAAAATATTGTGATGTGTGGTATGTGTAGAGCATTCTGGGGAGATTCTTCTGCCTGTTGCACCAACTGTAGTTAATGCACAAGCAAGAAAGAGGCTGATGGCTGCTATGAAACTGCACCTTTCCTGTTTCTGCTTGTGACTGTTGGTTTGAGAATTGTAAGGCTGTTTTTGATGGATGAGGAGCAAGCTAAGTAACTGTGTCTGTCCCTTTATCACAGTGAAAAATCATAGATTATTTTGCTCCAAGCTGATTTCTACTCACAAAAGAATGAGCTATTGAGAAAGAGGCTGGGTTAACAATTCTAGCTTTGGCTGGAGAGATGTTGTACTGGCTTTGTGTAGCAAGGCTTTGCTAGTGGGGTGGGTACAAGGGTGGGTACACTTCTTTCTTATGCAGTGAGAACTGCTGGAAGCTTTCTGTCTGTCTGCTAGAGTCAGCCTCAGCTGGCTCCAAGACAGACCCACCACTGGCCAAGGCTGAGCCCATCAGTGACAGCAGTAGCACCTCTGGGATAATGTATTTAGGAAGGGGGCAAAGACTCTGCACTACAGCAACTGCAGCCAGAGAAGAAGGGGCTGGGAATGTGTAAAAGAGGGATGTCTGAAGACAAGATCAGTGGAGTAGGAAGGACTGGAGGTGCTCCAGCTGCCAGAGCAGAGGTTCCCATGCAGCCCATGGGAAATACCATGGTGAGGCAGTTGTGCCCCTCCAGCCAGTGGAGCTCCAAGTGGAACAAATACCCACAAGCAGCTCCTAGATGACCCCATGCCAGATTATGTGGATGCCCAAAAAAATCAGGCTATGACCCCATGGAAATCCCAGGCTGGAGCAGGCTCCCTGCAGGATATGTGGCCCATTGTAGAGAGAAGCTCACCTGGAGCAGGCTTGTTGGCAGGACTTGTGATGCCATAGGGAATCCACACCAGAGCAAGTCTGTTCTGAAGGATTGTCTCCCGTAGGAGGTGTCCCATTCTTGAGCAGAGGAAGGATGTGAGGCTTCTTCCCCATGATGAATAAGGTGCATCAGAGACAGCATGGGATGAACTGACACAGCCCCCATCCCCCTGTTCTTCTGGGTGCAGGAGATAAAGAAAATTGGGAATAAAAGTGAATCCAGCAAGAAGGGAGGAATAGGGGAAGGTGTTGTAACACCTGTTTTTATTTTTTCATTATTCTGCTTTGTCTTCATCAGTAATAGATGAAACAAATTTCCACAAGTGGAGTCTGTTTTGCCCATGACAGTAACTGATGAGCGATCTCTCCCTGTTCTTGTCTTGCCCCATGAGACTTTCACTATATTTTCTCTCCCCTGCCCTTCTGAGGAGGGGAGCGATAGAAGGGGTTTGGTGGGCAGGGTCAGCCCACCACAAATTTTGATACTATTATAGTTTGATGTTTTAGTGCCTTTGAAAGTGCTGGTTGCCTTTTTGTCATGCTAAACTGAAGAATTTCAGAGGAGGATTTGCAGCCATCAGGTGCAGACTCAAGTTGTCACAATTCTGCTTTTGCTGTGTTTCACCATGATTGTCTTCAGTGATGGCTTTCCTGTATTACAGTTCCTGGACCCTGCGATCCTGAAGACCTAATTGATGGAATAATTTTTGCTGCCAATTACCTTGGTTCAACTCAACTCCTTTCTGATAAAACTCCATCCAAGAATGTGAGAATGATGCAGGCTCAGGAAGCTGTCAGCAGGATCAAGGTGAGGAGTAATTCCTGCTGCTGCTTCTATGGCTGTTTTATGATTGTGGATATGAACTTCTTTCTTATGCAGTAATTTTTTCAGGTGGGGTTATCTGTAGTTTCAGAATGAAAGGTTCCTCACCTTTCCTTTACAAAATAAATCGCATATGCTGCTTATGGAGCAAGACTGATAAGGGGATGTTACCAGGTCATTTTAATTCCCTGTGGTAATACTCATGCTGTGTACACTAAACCAGAATCTGAAGTGAGTGGTGGTCAAAGTTATATATTACCTGGCTGTGGAGGGAAAACAAGTTAAGGAAATAACTAGTAAGTATTGCAGCTGCTTCTGGCACTCAATGGAACTGCTACTGTTGTAGTGACTGCAGTTATTTTTGACCCTGTTGTGGACACTTGTTTCTCCACACATAACAGCTGTGAGCTGATTTGCTGATTTAAAAAAAAAAAAAAAAAAAAAAAAAAAAAAAAAAAAAAAAGAAAAAGCCTCTGATGGTAAAGAGAAGCGTGGAAAAAGTAATTTGTCCATTGTCCTGGAATCTGAAAAATTTTGTTTCAAAAGAGAAATTCCATCTGATTTCTGTACAGGCCATTTCCAGCAATGGGAATGCTGCTGTATTGTAAGTTACAATTATGACATTGTCAGCTGAAATGAGGGTATGCGGATGAAGTATTGCTCAGTTGTACAGGATGCTGCAGCATTCCCACTACCCGTACATGACTGGCTAGTAAGCACACAGCTTCATCTTCTGCTAATTCAGCTAATCAACACAACCCACTCTGGGAATTTTTCTTATTTTAATATCTGTATGTTCTTCTTTTGTATATTTTATTTTGGCTTCCAGCCAGATTTAGTGTGCAATTATATAAAAGAGAGAGGAAGAGGAGAGGTTATCAGCAAGACCAATAATATTGTCTGTTAAGGTCAGCTGATGCTTCGTACTCCTTTTATTCCTTCCACTGCTTTCAGTGGCAGGTGTTTTCAGTTTAGTCTCTGTATGTAACTTTGAAACAGAAGCTCCAAATAGAGCCATTGAGACAACTTTCAAAAAATGTAATTTTGCTGGTGTTCAGATGCGTAAGCTCTTGCAATGCAACCTTGTCTCTGAAATTCATAAACACTCACATTTTAGAAAGGGCAGGAATGTAGCCTTCCTGTTAGAGATTATACTCCACCATCTCTGCAGAAGTCTTCACTACCTTGAACTACAGAACCTTTTGCAGAAGAATTATTTATCTTTGTTCATTGGCAACTCTGGATTAAGTGACATTCTTTAAAAATAGGTATTATGCAGCTTTTTCAACAATGGCAAATCTTGGTGTGTTCTCCCCAAACCTGCACTGAAGAGTTTTTCTTATAGAGTCTGGTTTTTTCCTGCTCTGAGCAAATAGGGCTGTGCCTTCTGTTTAGCAGTCTCTTTGTGTTCCTTCTTGATGCTTGTCTGTGTGTGAGGAAACTTGTCTGATTTGAGTGAACAGGAAACTAAAGGTAAGGGAGGGAAAAAAGGGCTTTGGTGAGGCTGGATCTAGGAGGGACACGTCACTGGAGGATGAAAGGAAAGATTAGCATCAGCTGTCATAGGAAATAGGTATCAGGAGTGGAGTTTGCACCTAGAAGGTAAAGCTTGTGTAGGAATACACTTCAGAAAAAGATTGCAGGGATATGGTAGACAAAAACAAAAACTGGGCCTAAAGGATGTAAGAGTATAGAACTTTCTCTGATACAAAACATATTTCGTAGACATTTATTAACAGAATAGTCTTCTGAGGATTCTGTTATGCCTCAGCATTTCTGTGTATCAAAACAGAAGAAATCTATTTAAGGCATTTTACTCATTAATGCCATAATTTGTGCATCTGTGGAAATCAGCAGGCGTGCATATTCTTTCTTATAGTGTATTTGCCTCAGGCTTGAGGCCCAAGTGATAGCATTTGTGACCTGGTAAAACCCTAGCTGGTGTATTTAATTTTATGAATCTCTATGTATTTCAGAAAATTATTGACTTGTATTGTATTGTACATACTACTTTAGAAGACTTCTTGGACAGTTACTGCTTTCTGCTTCTAAGTAAAGCACAGGCTTTAAACCCCCTGCACCTTAGGCTTCTTGGCTTGTAAGGGTTGGTTTTGGCTGGTTTTGTTACTGGTTGCCATTAAAGCTAATCATTTTCAGAGAGAAATTCATCGTGACAGATGAACTTCCTGCTGCCAGATTCATCACTGCATCAGATATCCCATATCCTAGATGTGTAAATTATGGCCCTACTCATGTTTGTTTACAGAGTGCCTTTCTTGTTGCATGTCAACCATTTCTCCACTGTTGAAGAAAACAAAGCTTTAAATTAAGAATGAGCTTTTAAAATACACAGACTTGAAGCTGAGTATTAAAAAGAAGTGAAGAGCTTTGTTTGAGCCCTGTTATTTATACCTTCACAAAAGTATATACTGTCTGAATTTAATAATCCCTGAATTTCTCCTTTTAGCAGAGCCTTCAGACCACATATTCATTAATTTGGACTATGAACAGACTTTGAAAACAATTCTCTAGGCTTCTTCTTTAGGAAGTATATTTTCAGATGAAAGTACAAGAGTTGGGTGTTTTCTTGCTTGGCCTTCGTCCCTATGAAGTCCAGCTAACTTAAAACAGATGCACTGCTTTGAAGGTGTTCATCAAATGTAGTTAGGAATATTTCATTAGGAGGCACTTTTAGCATGCTGTGGGGTAGGTTTCAACATTTCTAGGTGATACCTGGTTTAATTTCTGAGTGTAATTTAAGATAAAATGCATATGTGGATATTTAGTTTAGTATTTCACACATTTTCACACATTGGGTGTCCTCTCCATGCTCACTGAGTTGCAAAACATTTTTTGTAGAGGCTAAATGGATTTAATAAACTTAGGACCTCTCTGTAGCAAAAGCAGAAGCTTGTTGGGTTTTAATGTATTGTAATTTTGGAAATTGCATCTATATAAATAAATACATTTAATTTACCTTGAATGAAAATCTTGTATTCTGTATATTAAAAAAAAATGTGTGGATTAGGTATATTCTGTTTCTTTTTTTTTTCTTCTAGAACTACAGAAATAATATTTTATTTGAGTTAACAAAATAATGTGGTAATAAAGAGGATTTGTCTAATAAAGTGTCTTGCATAGAATTATCCCAATTTTTTTTTTTTGTTCATGGACCATAACTTCTTTTGTGACATTTCCATGCAGTGTTAGGTCACTTACTAAAAGTGCTTGATCCATAACATTGCCTTATTTTATGAAATATTTGAAAATAGTTCTTCAGTATGCTTCCATTTGAGGAACAGAATTTTCAGTATATTGAATTATAGTATAATTTGGTAAATTGTTGATTCTACATTTTAAAATTGTCGCTCAAGGATTTTTTTTGCCCCCTTTTTCTTAATTTTTGCCTGTACTTTTCTTCTTTTGGGAGGTCCATAATTTTAAAGTTTGGGAAGGGTGATGAAGAAAAACTTGATTTTGGAAAGATATCTAAATGCTCTATCTAAGGAGTGTCTCCTCCTTGCCCAGTGTATGATAGGCAGCTGTTACTCAATATAAGTATATTATTTCTGAGTATTAATTTAATTTGAGAGTAATGTAATGAAGAGCCTGCCATGTAAGGCAGTTTTAATTGCTTTTACAATAGTTTGCAATCACCTGTTGCAAAATAACCTACCAGGCTATAAAATATTTCTTAGTTTGAAAAAGGTGACTAAAAGCTATTTTGAGAATGTTTCCATTTGTAAACAAGGAGCATGGCCTGACCTTTCAGTAGCTGGTTTCAGATTTGTTTAGACAATATCTGACGGATTTAAGTTGTGAGCATCAGTATTAAAATTTTTGATGTGTCTTATGATATAGGCCTCCTGTTTGCTCTTTGTAGAAGTAGCTAGTGCTGAGTCTGTCTGAAGCTTCTAACTATAAACCTCCTTCCCACCATGAGCATGCCTGTAAATTTAATTAAAAATAGCCTGTTACTGTTGGAAGTTAAGGGCTAATTGCCAGCCTGGTGAGTATTGCATTCCTTCAGTGAGCAGGTCTGTAAAGATCAGATCACCATTTTGGTTTGAATTCATGATGGAATTCATGACTCAAGACTGTAAAAATTATGTTTGTTTGGGTTGTTAGTAGAAATGTTTTTTAAGGTGTTTCTGGAGCTGAAACACATGCTCCACTGCTTCTTGAAAAAATGTGATAGTGTGGACATATCTTTGTGTAGGTGTCACAGGAAGATTTGTTGACCAGTTCACTGTGTGAACATTGGTGCAGATTTATTTGCTCAGAAGAAAGAGAAAATGAAGGTGACAGTTACCTTCTGTCATTTCATTTTTCCAGGAAAAAGCAGCATAGTGTTAGGGAGGTTGTTTTTTTTTTTGAAGTCTGTTGAAGTATGAGATCTGAAAAACCTGTCATAATAAAGAAGGCATACAATTTTTCACTCACCTTTTATATCGGTGTACCTTGAAAAGAAATAATTTCTTGTGATGGTTTACACTGCTGTGAGGGGAAGATCTCTTCTGTTTCTTAAACCATCCTCCCCTCACCAAGCCTCAAAAACAATTGCACTCAAAATGACCTTGTTTGTTGCAAGTAACATTTTAAGTGAAAAAAAAAATCCTTTTGTGTTCGTTTTGACTCTTTTGGTGCTGTTTCTTCTCATTTCTGAAGTTAATTGTGATAAACATGAATTTTTACAATTTTTTAAGCTAAAAAAACAAGAAGGAAATTAATTTAAGCAGGGACTAATTTAGACCAGCTAGTAGTCTGTGAGCCCTGACATTAGTTTATAGATTCCTACTTGACTTGGAGTCTCTGCAAGTTCTTCTCTAACTGTTCTCCTGTCTCTGTTTGTTCCATGCTAAGCAGATGGCCCAGAAATTAGCCAAAAGCAGGAAGAAGGTGCAGTACAAACTCCATCAGCTTGATGTTATGCTTGTTCTTTTGTTTTCTGGGAGGGTTTTTCCCTTTCTTTTTATTTTGTGGTTTTATTTTCTGCATCCAGCAAGGTTTTTTCAGATTTGTTTCTGAGCCACCATGACATATCTGGGAAATCAGTTGCCTGATTGGCCATTTTTTGTTGCTTCTCATTAGCCATTTCATGTTAGAAATAGAAGAAAGATTGGATCTATCAAATAACCATTTGGGTACAGGCAGTACCCAAAATACATATTAAAGAATCAGGACTGACATGGCAAAGGTTTAAACATTGTTAAATTATGGATTAAAATGGAGTGTGGGGGTTTTTTTGTTTGTTTTGGGGGTTTTTACCTTTTTTTTAGACTTTTTAATTTTAATTTAATCTTTATGTTGGAGTGCTTTGTTTGACTCACAGAGATGTCAAATTGCTGGATGCAAAAAAAAAAGTTTATGTCTATACATACAGTAATATACTGAGATTGACTCATCTTTGTAATAAGTTTTGTTTGTGGAGCTTTCAACTACTTTTTAACAAGTGTAATTTAAAAATATTACAAATGTTTGCTTTCTATTAACAAAATATTACTTCTTAAGTGGGTTACTGCTTGAAAAGTATCTTGTCTGACTGTGAAGGTCTTCTTGCCAGAACTGCATTATGAATAGCTCAAACAGTACCTCCTGTGGTACAGGTTTTTCCATTGGTCTTAGCAGCCACTGCTAGCCCAAACAGAAATTCCTCAGGCAGGAGATACTATTAGGCCTTTCTATGGCTTGTATGAAAACCTTGTTTCAAGTGGGATTCATAGTGTGCAGAAAATGGTAAAATCATATTACTTTTCAAGAAATCTTTATAGTTCATGTTGCAGTCAGGTATAATTTTTCTGAATCAGGAAAAATAGCAGGCAAGCTTTTGTGCGGATAACTTTTTTTTCAAACAATACCCAATTCACTTTCACATATATGATATAGTTTCCACATCTTTGTGTTTATCTTTTGCTTCTGCAGTCTAATACTCTATCCTGCATTGCTGTTCTGGTGACTGTGTCTTAGTGTACCCCTGTATGTGAACTAACATCATTATTAGTAAGTATGTTACCTAATGTGTTTGTTTGACTCTAATCCATTTATTTGCAGGCTCCAGAAGGTGAATCTCAACCTATGACTGAAGTGGACCTGTTCATTTCTACACAGAGAATAAAAGTACTGAATGCAGACACACAGGTATAGACATAGACACCTTTGTTAGTACTGTTGGAAAAGACTACCAGAATAGACTTTCACGTACATGTTAAAATTTGTCTTTAAAATGTGCTGGATCTTATATTCCCCTCTAGGCAGAAATCCATGGTCAAGTGCCATGTCATACAAGCAATTATTCAGTGTGTCTGACTATAGAAATAATTAGAATTTGTGGGTAAGATAATTGCAGTCAGCTTATGTCTTCTAAGCCATGCTGCATCAAGTATTGATTGTGCGCAGAATAGCCAAAATATTTAGCTGCAATAATTTGCTTATAGTCCTGTACACATGCATGCTCAGCATGTGCAGGTTCTGCAGTTCACGTCTTGATGTACTTTTCCACAGAAAAAAAACCCTGTAAAACTTTCTCTTTGTTTTATTTTTGGAAAGTAAAGCTCTTGGTTTCTGTTCTATTTCCCTTAATGCATGACAGATGTTACAGATTTCACCTAGCAGGGGTCTTACAGCTATGTGTGTTTTGATGATACTAGATGTCCATTAAGAACCTAGTTGAAGCAGCTGCTTATGTTGGTTTTCTTATTCCCCAGGAAACCATGATGGATCATCCCCTGCGGACCATTTCTTACATTGCTGATATAGGAAATATAGTTGTTTTGATGGCTCGTAGGCGAATGCCACGCTCTAACTCGCAGGATAATGTGGAAGCATCTCACCCCTCTCAAGATGGAAAGAGGCAGTACAAAATGATTTGTCATGTCTTTGAGTCTGAGGATGTAAGCAATTACGTTGTCTTGTAGTTTTCTAGGAGTAGAAAAGTAAGCAATTTTGATAGGCCCAAAGCCCATTGTGAGTGGTCCTGTTTGCTTTTTAACTGGACCCAGTATTTCGTCTAAGCAGAGGAACTTGCCTGCCATCTGTATGTTTGGCATGACATGTCACAGGAAGTTGGCGTTTGTACCACCAAACGCTTACTTTTTTAAAGTTTCTTTAGTGCCTTCCAGTAACAGTGATAGCAGGGTCCAGTTGCTGCAGTTACAAATACCATCTCAAATTTTGCATAGGAGAGGGAAAGTCTATCAGAGACGCTTATTTTCATAGGGAAATTCTAATCCCAAGTCTTGCATTGAGGATCAATCAGTGATGCATACAAGAAAGGTGATTTTTTATTTTACAGGTGGTTTATATAGGGGCTGTAGTTACTGTCGTCATATGAAAAAGCCAGCAAAGAAAGTTTGTGATTTCAGCAATCCCAAAATATGTTGAATAGAGACATAAATTACTAAATTTTAATCTACGGCACAGTTAAGGTATTTTACACAGGATTAAGTTACTTTACACAGGTCTTGATCTCCTGTCTTCACAATCAGTTGCCGATTTTATGTACTTTTTAAAAGTAACTTTCAGTAACTGAAAAGTAAAATCAAACTTACTAGATTGAAGTGATTAGATATGCAGTTTTTAGGATCATAGTCAAGTTAGCCCTAGTAATCTGGGAAACTAACATACTGAAGAGAAGTAAGTAAGAATACCAATATCTTCCATGTCTTCCACACTACAGTGAACAGCAAGGACTTTGAGATGGGAAGGTTTTCTTGAATAAGGAGCTGATTTTATGTAATAATTTAAAGTAATCTGCTCTAAACCTCTGTCTGAATATATTATCTGAATATGTTATTGCACATGAATGTGTATCTTGACCCACTGCTGAAGTTAAAAAATAAGGATGAGCACTGGTGAAAGTAATCCTGGACCAAAATTGACAGTGTATAAAAATTTTGGATTATTTCCACAAAATAACATGTTTTGTCAAACTGTTTTGTAAAGCCTTTTAAGAATCTGGTGTGAAATACAGTAACCAATGTATTTTTTGCTTAATAACATTTGACATGCTACCCACTTTGAGGCTGCTGTTCCTGTGTTTCTAGTCACAAGTTTGGACACTGCGTGCTCTTTTACCGGCCAGTTGAAAAAGCAGAAATCAAGCTGTCAGGTGCCAGAGTCTTGGGCTTATTTTCCTTTACTATGGGGTGATCTGACCCTTTGCATGATCCATGCTTTCCAGATCCGTTTCCTAGGCTGCTGTTAATACTTTGGCTAGCTAAATTTGAGCTTCCCAGTCTATGGTTTGTTTAGATCAGCCGGTATTTGTATTGTGTGTGATCTTCTCTGTGCCTGTAAATCCAGCTGGCTTGTAAAATGCTTGTAGATCCAATAAAAGCATTGCTCATTGATGGGGAAAATATGCTGAAAGACTACAAATTATATCAACTCTCCTTAGTCATGGTATGTAGCTTACAGGTAACTTGCCAAATTTATCTCAAATTCTGAAGTGACTAACAGTCAGAATGGAAGGACTGTAGGAGCAACAAAATGGGAGCTTCAAAGATTTTGTACCTCCAGTGAAGTCCTGTGGCCTGTTTATATTATAAAACCTGTCTTTTCTTCTTCTGGGATGCGGGGTACTTGGCAGAATCTACACAGTAAGTGAAACAGAAGCTGTAAGCCTGTGAGTGGGTGTTGGCCAGAACATGTCTCTGCTTGGATGAGTCTTTGTCTAAAGAGGACAGCACCAGATTTTCAGCTATTTAGAGGTGTACCTTTAAATGAGTTGAACCTTAGTGATGTGTCCAAATGCTGGGTGTCTAAGCGGGAGCTGATCTCTTTCTGGGAGTGCAGATGCGTGTGTATGAATGTAAAGTCTGCACTCTTCACTTACATTACTGAGTTATGGAGGTGCAGTTTTCCCATTTTCTTGCTGTCCTTGCTGTCAAAATTAGGTTGATCTTAGCTTTGGTAATATACTACTGGTCTACATATTGGTCTTTTCAGCACCAGCAATCATGCTGTTCTCATCAGCAGATTTAGTGCTAGTTTGAGCTAAGATACAACATTTTTATTTCTGTGTTGGGAACCTTTCCTTTATTAGGGACCAAACTGGACTTTAAAAATGGCCATCAGACTGTATAAAAATACACCTGAACAGCATTCATTCATTCAGTTACCAGTACTCTGCCAGGCCTCCACTGTCAACTGTGGAGCTCTGTTTTTCTTCCCTGTCTTTGCCATAGACAGCCCTGTGTTTCAGTGCACACCACAGCCACCTCCTGTGCCCCACACAGTGCTCGCTGGGTGAATCTCTCCACCTGTACACAGCAGTACTCTGCACCATGCTGTGCTTTGCTCTCCTGCCATTTATTTGCCTGACCATGATTGCTGTGTCGAAGGTGGCATCCCTCTGGTCTTGCTTGGCACAGAGCTTTCCCAACGTCTGCCTGCTGCCCAGTTTCAGGCCCACAGCTGCAGGAATCAAACAGCTCATGGTGGGAGCAGTGCAGTGTAGTGAGAGGTCCGTTTGGAGGCTTTGGGTGCAGACAAGACTCTGGGAAGCTGCAGGTGCAAGAGGGTGCTCACAAAGGACAGAATGAGTAGGAAGGAGGCGGAGAACTCCCAGGATCGTGTGAGTTGGAAGGAGGGAAATAAGTGTAGGGAATAGGGGCTGAAGGTACTAGCAGGATGAAGAAGGAGATGCATATGACCATTTGCAGTTACTTTAGGGCTTGATCTGGTCTCTAGTTGCTGCCTTTTTCCTTTTTTGTCTTGAGACTGAGATAGGAGTAGTCACTATCAATGTTGTAAAGGATGGTAGCAAAAGCTGGAAATACCCTTTTAAATGTGGTTGTGTGTTTCCTAGTAGACATTTTCTTTTTCATTGCTTGCTTGTCAGAGAATGACATTGCTTCTGCTGGAAGGGAGTGCCATCTGGGAGCAGCATGTGTGGGAGGAATGATAGGTGCAACCCACAGCCACTGCAGTGGCTCTACCTTTACACTTACATTAACAGTTCTTACCTGTGAAATGATGTCTTTCTTTCTCATATTTGTAATTTATAATTGCTTACTGAGCTAGATTCATGGCAGAGCTGAATGTGTTGAGATTTTGTGGGTCTTTAAAATTAATTTGTAAGGCACAAATATTTTTTAGACTGGATTGTAGTAACTTGTAGGTTCATCAACTTGATGATCCATTTTACAGTGTGATTGTAACAGAAACTGTCAGTGGACATGAGCATCAGAATGTTTCACTTCTTTTCTTTTCTTTTCTTTTCTTTTCTTTTCTTTTCTTTTCTTTTCTTTTCTTTTCTTTTCTTTTCTTTTCTTTTCTTTTCTTTTCTTTTCTTNTTCTTTTCTTTTCTTTTCTTTTCTTTTCTTTTCTTTTCTTTTCTTTTCTTTTCTTTTCTTTTCTTTTCTTTTCTTTTCTTTTCTTTCTTTTCTTTTCTTTTCTTTTCTTTTCTCTTTTCTGGGAACTGCTACAGGCACAGCTGATTGCACAGTCCATAGGTCAAGCATTTAGTGTGGCCTACCAAGAATTTTTGAGGGCAAATGGAATCAACCCAGAAGACCTTAGCCAGAAGGAATATAGCGACTTGCTTAATACCCAGGACATGTACAATGATGATCTGATTCACTTCTCCAAATCTGAAAATTGCAAAGATGTATGTATCTTTTTTTTTTTCCCCCGCAAATATTCAGCTGCTCTTTATCAGTTGCAGGCCTGTGTTGGCACAAACTAAAAAACCATTTATACTTCCTATAAATTATCTCAGTTAGTCTAGAATATCCTCCCTAATAGACCACCCTGTCATCAGTTGTTTCAAATGCAAACAGTGAACCCCAAATTTATCTGCAGTCAACTGATTTACCATCTGTTTCTGTTCTTTTTACCAAACAATTTTCAGACATGTTTGAATGCGAACTTAAAGCAGATTAATACAATAAAAAAATACAGTGAAACAACATAAAATTTATAGAAACAGTAGCGTTTATGAACATGATTGCTTCCAGGTTTTAAATAACTGTGTGTGCCAGAAGGCTTTGCAGCTGGCTTGATAAAAATGAACCAGTGTGCAGATGGAACACACAGGTAATGTCTTTCCAATGCAAAGTTGTAAAGTCTTGCTATCTCTTCTTATTTAGCTTTGTCCACCAAGCCCATGGCACCAGGGTTTCCCTCACTGGAATTCATCTTTTCATAAACAGAAATTACTTTTGAGGGGTGTTCAGCACTAAGTCTGTATTGTGTGTCATTTAATGTTTGAATGCAAATGAAAGGTAGTAAAACATGTACCCTATCTTGTTTTACCTTTGAATTAGGAAGGCAAGTTGCAAATGAAAAGGGGTATATTTGTTAGGTTTGTGAATATTTGGATGGGGATGATATTAGTTCCATGGGTGTAAAAGAAACTTTTTTTAAACACTTTTTCTTACTATACAGGTTTACATTGAAAAGCAAAAGGGAGAAATTCTAGGTGTGGTGATTGTGGAGTCTGGCTGGGGATCCATTTTGCCTACAGTTATCATAGCCAACATGATGCATGGAGGACCGGCGGAGAAGTCTGGGAAGCTGAACATAGGGGACCAGATCATGTCAATCAATGGGACCAGCTTGGTTGGTTTACCGCTCTCAACATGTCAGAGCATTATAAAGGTAGGGAAAATGTTTCTGGAAGCTACATTTTAAAGAGACATAATTGAAAAGCAGAAAGTATAAAACTGAAGTAAATTCTTGCCAAATGTTTGCATAGCACTTTGCATTTCATGATCTGAAAAAATAGTGTGAATTATGCCACATCAATTTTCTGTCTGGGACCAATGAAAGTGTTGTAATCTAACATCATTGATGAGGTCCCCTCTCAGTTGTCTCTTCTCGATGCTGAGCAGGGCCAACTCCCTCAGCCTTTCACAGAACTGTGGTAATTTTAGATTGGAAATGACCTCTAAGATCATTGAGTCCTACGGTAAACCTTTTCCTCCTAAACTGAAGTGTTCCAATCCCCTAATGATAGCCCTCAACAGGACTTGCCTGCTCCAGGAGCTCCATGTCCCTGTTGTGCTGAGGAGGTCACAACTGGACACAGCACTCCAGAGGAGCCTCAGCAGGGCTGAGCAGAGGGGCAGGATCACCTCCCACGAGCTGCTGGCAGTGCTCTTCCTGAAGCACCCCAGGACACCATTGGCCTTGCTGGCCACACAGACACAGTGCTGGCTCGTGGACAACTTGTGCTGGGGCCTGAGATTATTCCTCCCCAGGTGCATCTGCTCTTGTTTAATTTCAGAATGTTCCTTTCTGCACACCCCTCCTGCTTGTCAAGGTCCTTCTGAAGGGTTGCACAGCCCTTGGGTATCGGCCACTCCTCCTAGCTTTTGTGTCATCAGTGAGCTTTCCCAGTGGGCACTCCATTTCTGATGATAGGTTAAATAAGATTGGGCCCAGTATTGAAGCTTGGGAGACGCTGCTAGATATAGGCATCCAAACAGACCTGTGCCACTGATCCCAACCCTCTGAACTGTCATTCAGCCACTTCTTAATCCACCTCACCACCCACTTCCTGAGCTTGGCTATGAGGTTATCTTGAGAGGCAGCATCAAAGTCTTGATCAAGTCCAGTGCCATTCCAGACTGCTGTGCTTTTTACTTGTGTACCAGGGCTCTGTGCACAGCTTCACAAGGGAATATTTTGTGCAGAAGGAAGATATTATCAGGTACACAATATATTGAAATTTTATATCACAAATGGAGGCACAGGTGTCTAATATTGTCATAAGCCTTACTAGCTGTCAAATAGTTCTTAGTATTTGGATGAAGTAGAGTAAATTCTTTTTTGTTTGTTTGTTTTTACCTATTTTTAAAGCTTTTAAACTTTGACTTAAAGACATACCCTCTTGTGGCATCTTTGCCCAAGTTATTTCAAAGTGCTTCGCTTATTTGGTTCTTTTCTTCACTTGCATAAATGGGGCATTCTAATTGGAAGAGCTTTCTTCTAGTTGTCAGAAAAGTATGTGACGGTGAGAAGCTTGCAGGTCGTCTGGAATTGAACAGTGCCTAGGGCAGCTGTAGCATACAAAAGAATAAGTATTTCAATATCAGTGTTTAAAGAGCAGGAAAGATGCATCACTAGAGAATGTTTGAGGCACTCTCAAGTTAATGAGTTATTTATTAGTTATTTGTTGAAATTAGTTATTTGTTGAAATGGTCCTGCCTAGCTCTGCAGATCATCACGTACAGACACATAATGTAATGCTAGTGGTACATTATACCAGCATTCTTCCCTGACTTTTAGCAATGTGCCTGTTGGACTTATTCATTTAGGCAACTTTTTGGTAACAAGTTGTATCATGCAAATTTCTCTTTCACTTTGTATTTTTTTTAATTGAAAAATAAATTTCCATTTACAAGATAAATTTGCCATGTTAAAAAAAAGTACAAACTATTTTTTTTTCCTTCATGGATTATCTCTTAATACTTGAACTGAGATGTTTGTTATAAAGACTTTCCATTCAGGCTTCCCAAAATGTTAATGCTGAGTTCTGATGAGTAATAGATGCATAGGTCACCAAACCAGAAATTTTAGATTCAGTGAGTAGAAATGACAGCATGTGTGACAAACTGAAAATATGGCAAAAACAGTCTTAAATCTGTAAAGAAAGGAAGAAAATAATTGTATTAAATATCTTTGTGCCAGCATCATCAAAGCAAAACACCCTGCAAATTTAGGCTCCTTGTAATTGCTTCCTATCCCACATAATTTTTATTTCTAAAACTATGATAAGTTATACTTCCCTTATTCAGATGGAGATTTTATTGTGCTCATCAGTATTTTGTCAATACAGAACCAACCACCTTTGCTGTTTCCAGCTTCTGCAGGCCTTTCTCTTCTTCCCTGATACCGCAGTTTCCACAGGAACTGCAAGCCTTATTTTGTCTTTCTAAAGAGATGATAATCTGTATGTTTGCAGATCTTCATAACCACACATCTGGAGTTATTCATATAGCACTTTTGAAAACAAATATGTATATGAATGATCTAAATGCAGATCATTAAATGTGGTGGAAATATGCCAAATTTCAGATTTTCTTAGCATGCTGGAAGGATTCCTATGAAAAGATGATAATATTATGTGGATAAACATATGTCACAAGCACTTCAAACAAGATAATTCAGTATTATGGATGTAATCTCTGCTCCTAATTTGCCATAAACCAATTGCAAACTGATGGAGCTTAGAAGAAGCTTTCCATGTGTAGTGGCGTATAACCCTAATAGGATTGTGCTACTTCTACCTTTTTCAAAAGCATCTGGTACTGGCTACTATCAGAAATATACTCAGGAACTAGATAAACAAAGAAGGGTGGTGAAAAGACAATTTTTTTTGTTTCTGATCAGTTTATGTTACCAGTCTGTATACTTCTGAAGATCACCCACTTCTGAAATATATACACTTGCTGTAAAATTAAAAGGATTTTTCATTAGGGACGACATTATTTTTTTGCCGCAGGGAATACATATAAGTAACTTGCACATTCAGCAGGGAAGTAAGGGCATGACAGTATCAAATCTATTCTGTGCATGTACCCTGAATGAATTCAGATGACTGAAGTTACACACTTAAATTCCTCATAGAAATGGGCATCCCCAGTACTCTGCATGACTCTCACCTCTCAGGATTAGAATGCTGAGTCAAAAGCCACTTAACATTGTGCCCACAGTGTAGTTCAAGTTGAGAAGTCCCTCTTCTCTGCAGTATGTGGTGTTGTGAAGATCTGCCTATACAAAGTGAATGGCCCTTGAGCTTGCGAGGTGCACTGCTAATTCCTCACTGGAGTAGAGGAGCCCATAGTCATGGAGGAGGGGGAGCTCAGATCTTCTTTCTCCTAAGTGTGGAGTACATGCAGCTCCCACAGCCACGAGCTTTGTCATTTTGTGGTCAGACACCCATTCATTGTCTTGCAGCAACTTTCAAGAATGAGCCAAGCTGAGCTCAGCACTGTTTACACCCAATGTTGATTAAATCCAGTTTAAGGTACTGACAAGAAAACAGACTTCAAGGTAGTTCATCATGCCAGGATGCCAGTTTAGTTACTTAAGTCACTGCTGAATCTGGAGCTCAGCTCAACAGAATCAGCAGTAGTAAACTCTATGTAAAGACTTCAGTATATTACCCTAGCTACAGTGGAAACTACTTTCCAGAATTAATCATTTGAAGTCAGTGTCTGACACCTTGATTGCAGTGGGACCCAGATTTCTACTGTATGTATGAAAGGCATTTAGAAGCAGATACTGGAATTGGCAGGTGTTTAATTAAGCAAGCTGAAAGTTGCTGTATTTTTTAGGAAGCATTTAGTTCTTTATGTGAAATTTTTATAAATGGATTTATGGCTTATATTTTGTGTGTATTAATAATTTCAAAAATCTCTCTTAATAATCTCCAAGAGGTCTGAGTTGAAGTTGTACAAAGGGTCAAGCTGGTATTTATTTGTGGTTTATTACATTGTTGTTTTCACTGAGGCATATGAACACAATCTCGAGTCTGGCAGTCACTCCTGTAGCTGGGCTAGACCAACATTTTGGTTAAAAATAGAGCAGGCTTCTTAATGCTGTGCCCATTAGGATTTGAATAACTCAACGACTGGATGCTCCACAGCCTCTCTGGGTAATACGTGTTTTACCACTCTGACAGTAAAAACAAATTTTTCTCATTCCGTTTTTTTCTAGTAGCAAGGAGTTAATGGTGAATGTGATATAACTCAGCTGGAAGGAAGAGTACTTTGAATGTATCAACCTCTGTCTTGGGGTAGATGATGAGTGAGTAGATAATCTAAAGGTTAGGATAAAAGGGCAGACTGGTAAGGGTGACACTTGTGGGTGTATGCTACAGGATGATGGATGAGGCCTTCTACAGGACAGCTCACATCAGCCTTGAAGTCACAGGCCCTGCTTCTTGTGGGGGACTTTAACTACCCTGACATCTTCAGGAGAAGCTACACAGCAAAGCACAAACAATCCAGGATGTTCCTGGAGAGCACTGGTGACATCTTCCTGTCACAGATGGTGGAGGATCCCACAAGAAATGGGTGTGCTGCATGACCTCACCCAACAAACAGGAAAGGGCTTGTTGGAGGTGTGAAGATTGGGGCCAACCTGTGAGCAAGTAAGACTGTAACCATGGGCTTCAGGAGAGCTTTTTTTAGCCTCTGTAGGGATGTTGACAGAATCCCATGGGAAGAGGCCCTGCAGGGGAGGTTGATATTGAAGGATCACTTCTTCCAAGCTCAAGAACTACGCATCCCAATGTGCAAGAAGTCAGACAAGGGGTCAAGAGACCTGCATGTGTAAAGGAAGAACTCTTGTCATTACTTAAGCATAAGCAGGGAAATACACAAGAGATGGAAGTAGGGTCAGGCCTCTTGGAATTAATATAGAGAGGTTGTCAGACTAAAAAGAGCTGAGACAAGGAAGGCCAAGGCCCATTTGGAATTAAATCTGACTGAGGATGTCAAGGAAAACAAGATGGGCTTTTTCAAATACATCAGCAAAAGGAAAACAAAGGATAATGTGTACCTGTTACTGTAGGAAGGGGACACTGGTGACAGAGGACACAGACAAAGCAGAGTTACTGAACAGTGCCTTTGGACTGGTGTTTGCTGTCAAGACCAGCTCTCAGGAATCTCTGACCCAGGAAATCAGGGTAAAGAAATGTTGGAAGGAATATTTTCCCTTGGTCAAAGAGAATTGAGTTACATAAGGCAAACACCTAGGCAAACAAAATCTGCACATCCATGGGCCCTGATGTGATGCATCCATGAGTGTCACAGACATGTTTAATGAAAAATCCTTTCCTTAGGATTTTTTCTCCTGAGCAGCTGAGAGGCCTCAGGAACAAAATGTAAACAAAAATTATCTGCTGCTGTGGAGTGCAACAGGTTCATCTTTGAGTTGGTTGTTTCTAATTAATGGCCAAGTCACGGTCCAGCTGTCTCGGACTGTCTGGTCAGTCACAAGATTTTATTTTCATTCCATTCTTTTCTATTCTGGGCAAGCCTTCTGATGAAACCCTTTCTTCTATTCTTTTAGTATACTTTAATATAATATGTATATATATTAAAATAATAAGTCAAGCCTTCTGAAACATGGAGTCAGATCCTCATCTCTTCCCTCTTCCTGGGATCCCTGTGAACACCACCAACCATGAGTGCTGAGGGAGCTAGCAATCACATAGTAAGGGTCTTGGCTGTCATCTTTGAAAGTTCATGGCAATCTGTAGATTTGTCTGAGGAATGGAGGAAAGCAAATGTCACCTAGTCTTCAAAAAGGGCAAGAAAGAGAACCAGAGAACTACTGTCCAGTCAGCCTCCCTTTATCCCTGGAAAAGTGATGGGACACCTTGTTCTGGAGGCCATCTGTATCCACATGGCTGACAATAAGGTGATCAGCAGTAGTCAGCCTGGATTCACTGGAGGTAAATCATGCCTCATTAAATTAATTGTCTTCTACAGAAAAACAGCTTCCTGAATGGATGAGGGGAGAGCACTGGATGTTCAACTTCTGCAAGGTTTTCGACACTGTCTCTCTCAATATCCTAGGAGACAAACACAGGGAATATGGACTGGGTTAGTGGGTAGTAAGGTGAATAGAGAATTGGCTGAATGGCAGATCCCAGAGGGTCATAATCGGTGACACACAGTGGAGGTCTCTAGGTAGCAGTGTCTCTCAGGGTTCAATACTGGTGCAGTTTTTTTTAAGTTATTCATCAGTGTCTTCAATGAAGGGACAGATGCCTCCTCCACAAGTTTGTTGGTTGAGCTGGGAGGAATGGCTGACACCCAAGTGCTGTGCAGCCCTTCAGAGGGTCCTCAACAGGCAGGAGAGATGGGCAGAGAGGAACCTCCTGACATTCAGCAAGGGCAAATGCAGGATCCTGCACCTGGGGAGAAAGCACTTCCATGCACCAGCACAGGCTGGGGCTGACCTGCTGCAGAGCTGCTCTGTGGAAAGGGACCTGGGGATCCCAGCGGACAAGTTGTCCACGAGCCAGCAGTGTGTCTGTGTGGCCAGCAAGGCCAATGGTGTCCTGGGGTGCTTCAGGAAGAGCACTGCCAGCAGCTCGTGGGAGGTGATCCTGCCCCTCTGCTCAGCCCTGCTGAGGCTCCTCTGGAGTGCTGTGTCCAGTTGTGGCCTCCTCAGCACAACAAGGACATGGAGCTCCGGGAATGGACCCAGGGGAGGGGTACAAAGATGGTTAAGGGACCAAAGCATCTCTCTTATGAGGAAAGGCTGAGGGAGCTGGGCCTGCTCAGCCTCAAGAAGAGAGAACTGAGATGGGTCCTCATCAGTGTGAGTATCTGCAGAGAGGATGCCAAGGAGATGGAGCCAGGCTCTTCTTGGTGGAGCTGAGCAGTAGGACAGGGGGCAAGGGGCAGAAACTCATGCGCAGAAAATTCCATGAGAACATAAAGGAATAACTTGTGTAGGTGAACATGCACTGGAACAGATTGCCCAGGGAGGCTATGGAGTCTTCCTCAGTGGAGATATTCAGGAACCATCTGGACAGAATCCTGTGCCATGTGCTCTGGGATGGCCCAGCTTGAACTGGAAGGTTGGATCAGATGGACCCACAGTGGTCCCTTCCAACCTTACCCATTCTGTGATTCTGTGAATAATAGAAACATTGAGCACTGCTTATACGAGGATGATATAAGGGAGACTTACTGTTTGCTTGACAGAAATTAGTATATTTCATTAGGGAAGCAACTGTTTGGTAACTAACTTAGTTACTTATTTAAAAGTCATTGGTAATTTGGTGAGCTGCATGAGCTGATTTAATATCCTTTTATGTATGATTTCTATTATCAAATGAAGAAACTGCCAACAGAAATCTAGTTTTCCTAACACAACTGTGCCAGATTTTTGGCAAGAAAAATTTGATGTTTTATCTCTTATCTCATTAAATATTCTGTTGCTTGTGTCTGGCATTCAGTGATCAGATTCTGGTACAATACATACAAAGATCTGTTTATTCAAGGCTGCTCCCATGTCAGCATTCTAACAAGGTTTTTTTTTGTACTGCTCATGTTACATGTTTAACTCTCAGTTTTGGTATATTTCCAGGGTTTGAAAAACCAGGCCCGGGTTAAACTGAACATAGTTAGATGTCCTCCAGTAACCACAGTCTTGATCAGAAGACCAGACCTCAGATATCAGCTGGGCTTCAGTGTGCAGAATGGGATCGTAAGTAGCTTCCACTGTTTCTGATCAAGCTTTAACACACATGTAACTTGCTCTCCATTTGTGGTTAAGTTTCAGTGTGAGAAGAGGGAAGCTGCTGTTTTCTCCCTTACATCAAGCAGGATTTTGCATTTGTCAAGTCTGAGATGTAAAAGTTGTGTTAATAAGAGGTTTTGTCTTGGACTCCACTTACTTCACAAATTTACAGTCAGAGGAATAAAAAAGTTGTTTCAGCTTAAAAAACCAAAAATGTGTGGAAGAGTCTGCTTTCAGCATGCATCATATATGTCTTTAGCCAAGCCATTGCATGATCTCAAAAGGAAAAGCCTGTTCTTGATCCTCTTTGTTGTAAGGGATCTGCCTAATGAACATTATTAAATTGAGGTCCTTCATACACTCAAATTTCCAAACCAAAAGACATGTAATGTACAACACAAACAGCTTTTTGTGACAGTTTATTCTGCTCTTGGAAGAGAATATCCATTAACTACTTGTCACTAACAAATTTTGCTTTGGAGTCAGTGATAGATTGCATCTTAGAATTTGCTGTTGCAAGTCTGCACTTAAATGTTGTTTCATATATTGCAGGCAAAAAACGGGTAGTCAGAAGTCTCTATTCCTTGTCCAGCCCATGATAAATTTGTGGTCTCCCTTGCAGATCTGTAGCCTTATGAGAGGAGGCATTGCAGAGCGAGGAGGTGTGCGTGTTGGCCATCGGATCATTGAAATCAATGGGCAGAGCGTTGTGGCAACACCCCATGAGAAAATTGTTCACATCCTCTCAAATGCTGTTGGTGAGGTAAGAACCAGCAACGTGTCTAGACAGTATAGTAGAGTTCATTGCTGTTACAAGTAACTACCAGTGGAAATCAGTAATGAGCAGTGTCCTTCAAGGGACTGTACTGGGACCAGCATTCTATCTGTCATGTCTTCATCAGTGACCTGGACAGTGGGAATGAGGTGCACTCTCAGCAAGTTTGAAGTTGACATCATGATCAGTGGTGCTTAAGGAAAGGGATGCCATTAGAGGGACCTGAACAGTCTAGAAGAATGGCCCATGTAACCTTTGTGAAGTTCAGCAAGGCCAAGTGCAAGGTCCTGCCTCTGGGTCTGGGCAATCTCCTACATCAATAGAAACTGGGCCTAAAGGGATTGGGAACAGCCCTGAAGAGAGGAACTTGGTGGAAGGAAAGTTGGACATGAGCCAGGAATGAACACTTGAAACCCAAAAAGCGAACTGGATCCTGGGCTGCATCAAAAGCAGTGTGGCCAGCAGGGAGGTGATTTTCACTTCTGTATTCTGCTCTTGTGAGACCCCACCTGGAGTCCTGTGTGCAGGACTTCAGCATAACAATGAAGGCCCCCCCTTCTGGGGCCTTCAGCATAAACAAATGAACCTGCTTGAGCAGATACAGATGCAGCCCATGAAAAGGGTCAGAGGGCTAGAGCACCTCCCCTGTGAGAAAAGGCTGAGAGGGGTTTCGTTGTTCAGCCTGGAGAAGAGAATGCTCCAGGGAGACCTGACAGCAGCCCTTCAATGTGTAATGGGCTTCTAAGAAAAATGGAGAGAGGCTTTTACCAGGGTCTCCCGTGCAGAACAATAGGCAATGGATTTAAATTGAAAGAGAGTAGATTTTTAGATCAGGCATAGGAAGAAATCCTTTGCTATGAGGTTGGTGAGCCACTGGAACAGATTGCCTGGAGAAGCTGTGGATGCCTCATCCCTGGAAGTGTTCAAAGCCAGGTTGCTTAGGGCTCTAAGCAACCTGTTCTAGTGAAAACTGTTGATGCCTGCAACAGGGCAGTTCGGACAAGATGATTTTGAAAAGTCCCTTCCAACTCAAACTGTGTTGGAATTCTGTTCTATCTCTATTGGCCCATTGCTAATCAAACCTAAAAAGCTGAAGTGAGAGTAAGCCTGTGCACCATGTCTTTCATTATTTGCCCCATACTTCTATGCTTTAGAAGAACCATACCTTGAAAATATGACGTGGACAATTTTAGATGGTTCATCAATACTAAACATATTTTTTCATAAAATCATCACCTGCAATACTTTAATAAGGGTATGAAAACTCGCAAGTTTTATCCTTTCTCCTGCCTTGTGTGACCTTATCTGGGTCCTTCAGGTGAGGTATGCATGTTTAGGAACATGGATTAATTTGGCTTATTTCCTCTAGATCCATATGAAGACTATGCCAGCTGCCATGTACAGACTGTTGACTGCACAAGAGCAACCAGTTTACATCTGAAGCCGACACCTCACCACCACAGTGTGCATGGAAGATGTTTTTTCCTCATTAGTGCTTGTCTCTCTAGTGCTGCATTGCTGTGTCTGCAAAGACATTTCTTTCTCTCTCCCCCCATCACAGACACAAATACACTGTTACTCTCTCCTTCATCCCTTTTCCCTCTTCTTCCCACCATTTTGGTAAGGGGCAAAATATACCTGTGGAACTCTTTTGGTTGCATCTTTTTACAAGTGAAACTTCATGCAGCTCCACGTGCAAAACAGGAGAATAACAGCAGCATAGTTTACAGCAGTATTCACAGATGGCTCTATTTCATGCTACATAATCAGTTTCATTTCTGTGGCTGTAATTTTACAAAAATTATTTTACCAAATAGATAGAAGTATAGGGTAAAAGGTGTTCCCTTGGATATCCTGCCTGTGACTTTGATTCTCTTGCCCTCTTTTCTCACAGGCACCAGCTCAGTACTAAAGGTTTGTGTCTGTGGGGAAAGTAGAATACCAAAAGGATTATTTTGCCCTCAGGAAAAATTGCCTGCTTATGAAGATTCACTAAATGCTGCTGTTGTAAAATGAATTGTCCAAATACACACCTTTTAATTCCCTTCTGTCATCTGTTCTTCATGATAGTAGGACTCCAAAAGATACTCCATAAGTTCCTGAAGCATGTTATTCTTGCATTACTTACACTAAGAAATTTGGGAGGCATTTTTTACAGCTGCCTCCCTCTCTCTGCCCCCAGGTTTTTATCTCCTAGTTTTCTTCAGCTTTGTGTTTTATAGTCCCTTCCTGATTTTAGAGGTTAAAGAAGTGGGGGGGAGAATCTTTAAATAGCCACAAGAAAAATATTGAGGGGATCTGCTGAATAGCTACACTTTTCTAGGCTCTTAATTCCGATTTTGGTGCACATAGCCATGTGTGCCAGTGTATATAGACATTTTTAAAATTGTGCTTCCTATTTATGAAGTTTGAATATAAGAGATCTGCAGACTATTCTAAGTAATTTTGTTCTCTGAGCCAGTTTTAACATATATTTTTGTCCAAAGACCTGTCTAATTTTATTGACTTCCTATTTAGTTCATGATATGTAGGTAACAGTTGAAAGGATGAGGCAGGAATAAACTTATTTATTTTGTTATATAATTTAGCTTGTGATTTTTTCCCATATATATGGCACTTAAAAGAGATATGTATGTACTATATGCACTTGTATGAAGATGATTAACTGTAGGGATGTATGAAATCTTGTATTTGATTAGCCTCTAAGTTGCATGCTAGAGACAAAATGGGAAAAGGGGGCTGGGTTGGGTCCTTTGGTTTTTTTAAGAGGGTTCAAAATAAAAAGAAGCAGTGTCTTTTCTTCCTAGTGAGAGAATTCTACATTCTCTGTAGTTACTTTTTTTCAGGACTGTATACTGGTGTTTATACTGAAGTTGAACCATGCGTTTAGTCCAGGCTAGTATGTTGATTTCTTTTAAACAAACAGTTTGTGCTGTGTTTTGCTGTGATGGAAAGGCTCAGTGAGATGAAAACAAGAGCAGACAACACACTGCCACATGCCACTTCTGCTTTGCAAATGCGGTGTTGTTCATAGTCACTTGTGTCTCACTTGTTGTGACGTGAGCTGTGCAATGTAAGCGTTGCTTGCAGTCCAGTGATGATCCTAGACATTGCTATGGGGATCCATGGAAGTGGGTGTGTGCATGTGCACTTGTTGCAAACACTGCTGAGAACCACTGAGCACTCTTGTCAGGGCTCCATTTTTTGGCTTTCTAAAGTCATGGATAACCATGGCCTGATCAGAGTTAGAGGATGAACTGTATTTCTGTGGGAAGCAGATATTTAAGGGACATAATGAAGTGGTGCATAAACTGTTGTAGTAAGGGGATATGTTTTAGTGTTGAGATTAATGTACAATGACTTGATTTTACTTGCATTTATTGTTGTTATATAATTTAATCCAAGGCTCCAGAATAGCAGATTGCACAAGAGAATGGTGTTAGTATTCCAGGTTAGTACTTAACTCTGCTGCCTCACTGATGCAACAAGATAATTAATGGCTTGTGAGTATATTGTTTAACTGTAGACATCTGGTTTATGGTAATTTGAATCTTTTTTCTAGAACTTTCCATATATATAGTAATAAATGTAAATATGGTATATAACCATGTACAATTTAGAAAATTCTATACAGTGCAGCCTTTCCATAAATTGCCTGAGGAAACTTAGTGAACTCTTGAAGACACAGTTATCATGCTTCTGGTTCCTGCTATGTGTATGCCCTCCACTTCACTTGTTTCTGTGGTTCTGTCTAGCCCATGTGGTGAAGTCTTTATCTCACTTCACGGGGAAATTATGAAAATCTGAACATGCAAATGTGTTAAGAGAAGAAACCACTGTTTCTTTGGAAATCTTGCAGCTGGGGGTTTGTGAAGTTACTGTTCATCCTAAATAGGTGCTTAAAATTAAGAAAATGAATGCTTGCAGGACCAGAGCTTAGCAAAAAAAAAAAAAAATCTCATTTTTTCAGTTGCAGTATGTGCATAAAATTTCTAAACTGAGAGGTCCATAGTGTGTGCACACTTCTGAGAGCAGTCTTGTAAACAATCCCATTTTACTCTGTAAACAGAAAGAGTTTCAAGAAAATGGAACTCAAATGGGAAAGCTGGCTGTTCTCTAGACTGTTGCAGCGGTTTGATAGATCAGATATGGGGATTTTTAACAGATGTAAAGGAACATTCCTTCAATGGTTTACATTCCTTCTTCAGTGACAGACCTGAATTCTATTTCTTTCATCCTTGCTGCTTCGTACAGTCTAATTAACTCTTCAGTGTTTACATTAAGGATGAAACATCCCTTGTATTTTTTATTTTTGAGAAGTTTCACGTTTGTTTTGAATCTTGTTTGAGTCTCAGTTTGGATTTCCAGGTTTGTTAGCTTTCCTTCTTTTCTAAAAGAAATGTATTTCTCAAGACAGCAACATGGTTGAGATCTCTTGTATATATTTAGCGAAGTACCTAGACTATGAAGTTGTACTATTGTTCTGTAAAGAGGATGAATGGAAATTATTGTAAAGCGTTGGGAAAAGCATAGTATTGTATTTGTAACAATATTGTTCTTTGTAAACATTTAATGATCTCTATATAAAAATATAAATATATATATAAATATATGTGAGCCTGGAATGTTGATATTGCACATCTACTGAATGTAATTACTCTGATGTTTTCTGCCACAGGTTCATGACCTCTCTAATGAAGCTGTGCTGGTTTGATTTGGGGGAGAGACAGAGGGGACTTTTTGCTTTGGATGGGATAGGGTAAGGGGTTTCTGGCCAGTTATTTTGTTGTGATGTATTTACTGTGCTACATTCCTTTATTTAACAGAGCGCTAATGTCTGTAAGATTTGCAACAATAAACTACAAAACAAAAATACCTCAGACAAGGCTGAGAATCATACTGACCTAGAGGCTGACTTGCCAATGCTGAATGCATGCATAATTGGAAGGTGTCTGAACTTGTTTTTTGCCACTTAGTCTGGAGTAATTCTTATCTATGTTTCTGCAGGCATGAAGCGGTACTGTTACCTTTATTTTTACAACAGCGTTCTTTTCAGGCAATACATGACACTAGTGCTCCTAAACAAAAGTGATTCCTAATCTACTGTGATTGTGACAGGAATATTATTTATTTGACTGAATAAGTAGGATTCTTTTCATAAATGGGGCTTTGATAAAAATTCTTCACACTTAGTTTCTGAAATCACTGTTTTCCTTTAAATGTCATCAGCATGATTTATTATTAAAGACCTAACACCATTTCAATAAATAAAAGTAGAATTCTGATCTGTCTGTCCCTAGAATTAATCCTGGAACTGCCTGTGCTAAGGTTATTTTTTTTTAAATATATAATCATAAAATAAAGATATAAGATATTAAGAAAAATATGATCATATTTGAAAGTCAACAAAAAAAAAGTCATCCAGGGACTGTTGCTTCAGGTGAGGCTTCATAGGATTTTCTGTGCCTTATAGGTTCTCAAGAGTACTTTGAAAGCACAAAAATGACAATACACACCACAGCTGACTCAGAAGAAAACTAAACATGGGCATTCAGCCACTTTGTGGCTGTTCATAACATGAAATAGAAATACCATCAACATGAGAGAATGAAGTATTTCACCTTAGTTGCTTAAATGACAGATGGAAGAAATTGCGAAGTCCCTGGTCAAGGGCGCAGTAGACAGGATGAGCTTCTTTCTGCATTCTGCGTTCCCCTGTGTGCCACCCTCCATCCTCCTATTTCTTTCCATTATCTGTACATACCAATTTCTGTGTTACAAACTTTTCTGCGTTTTTGTGGATAAACATAAGCCCTAACTTTAGCAGTACAGACAAAAATTTCAGCAGATCTGCTGTGTACACAGAGGACATGTTTCTTGCCCCCTCCTTCAGTGTTTTTAATGGTTTGGATCCACACAGAGGACAAGCAGACCCCACCCCAGTTGCAGCACCCTGTAGAGCCTTGCAGGCTGAAGAGGTGATGCTGGTGACCTGCGTGGACTGACAGTGTCCGTGTCAGGGCTGGGACTGTAATTTAAATAAATGTTCAGTGCAGAAGCACATGGAGCAATCCTGACCTAAAATCATGGTACATGAAGAGTTGTGATCCACGTGCCTCTTATCTGAGTAGGGCCAGGCCTGTGCTGTGCTTTGTGCTGCTCCTACAGATGCACCTCCAGGGATATCCCTTGGCCACAGAATAAATTTAGATGTTTTATTTTAAGAAGGGAGCCTGCAGGCAGCCCCAGTGGTACTCAAAATGTAAATACCACCCAGCAGTACATGTGTGTCCCTGCCTTTGTCGAGATGTGCAGCAGCAAGGTCCCATGTGAACAGCCCTTTTGTTTGTAGAAGTGATGAGTAGAGTTGTTTTCTAAGAAAATTTTTTATTATGTCAGATGATCTGAATGGGGTAAAGTAGTTGGATCTGCATAACTTGTGCCTTGCCTGATGCTGCACAATCTGGGGTTCCCAGCACCTGAAGGAATATGAAATTAGCTATACTAGCTTCTTTGTTCATAGCACCTGCTGTAACAAACAGCATTTTAAATGAAACTGCCCAGAGAGTGCCTTTCTTCCCAGGACAAGAACAAGCCATCATCACCTGTTGCAAAACACCTGTTTGGATGTTGTTCCATCATTAAGACAAAAATAATGTTCTGCCATTAAGAGAGAAGTTCACTGAGCGAAAAGAGCAATTTTTCAAGACAGATTTTATTTTTATTACAGTTTGCATATCAACAGCCTTTCTTTATAAAGAATAATTTTAGAATTCTGTTCAGCATTTTTTACTAACTTCGTTCATATCTGAATGTCTCCATTTTATGACAGGAAATTTTAATTTAAACCAAAGTGCCAAAAACTTGAGAAGTTCTTCAATACTGCTTTTGACAGCTCCTTCCACAAGGATGATGTATCATCATACCCCACAACTACATGCTGCCAAACTTCACAGAGATGCAGGGCACCAATGTATCACAAACAGATGAGCTGCAGCTGAGAGCCCAGTAAAGGTCAGCTTTCAGTCTCCTCATTGCTCTTTGTAGAATGATCTTCCCCCTTTGGAGTCTGTGCATAAGAGCATTAAAAAAGAAGGCAATTATTGACAAACCCATCCACCCACTTGCCACAGATGATTTTCCTCTGCAGTATGTGTATGTCTGACAGAAGAGCTCTGCTGAGGAGTAACTAAAAAGCCAGCTCAAAGCACAGTTTCTCTGACAACACCAATAACACTGCGAGGCCGTTCATGTTCTGCTCTTTGGATTCTCCTCTCTGCTAGCTGTTCTCCCTCTGTGGTGAAAGTACTCAGGTCACCACAGCTCTCCAGGTACAGCAATCTAGAGTGCAATCCAGAAGGCAACACATGTACTCTCAATGATGTGGCTTGCTGGGCAGGTGTTGTCATCACCTTTAAAAAAAAGAGGGAAGTTTAAATCAGTTTTGTTTTCTGGTTCTTGTTCCATTAGAATAGTTTTTTACCCAACTAGGAAGAAGCTACTGGTAGTGTTGTCTGTTGTGTTTAAAGAATAATTTAAAAAGCTATAAAACCCCTAGCATTTGCCAAGGAGGCATGGGAAAAGGAGTCCTACTTGGGAAAAGGAGTGGGATGATTTTTAATTTTGTTGTTGTTTGTGAGGTTTTTGTTGGGTTGGTTTAGTTGAGGGGATATTAAAGGTGCACAGGAATTGTCTCACTCCAACCTATGGCATGTCTCGCATAGTTATAGAAGGAACCTAAATGTTGCTTCCTTGCAGAAGCCACTGAACTGTAATTACCTTCAGGCCTGTGTGATAAATTAAATTCTAAGAAGCCTTCTTCCCTCCTGTTTCTGTCATATTTGCCAAGGCTTTTGCTGCCTGAAGGCTGCAGTGGGAATTCCCACTTTATCTGCAGAGCCTAAATGACACTGATGTGTTTTGCATGAGAACCCAAGCCAAAACCAGCTGTCATAGCAAATCACTTGTGCTGTGCATGAATCTATTTATCTACCCAAATGGAATGTAAGTTACCAAAACAATTGTTTTGATGAAGTCTGCAGTGTCTGAAACTTCTGGATATTCACTCCATTAATATAAGCACCAATTTTCTATTTTCTGCTTTTCTTTCTTTAGTACTAGGTCTTATTTTTATCCTGAGAGCCAATCACAAAGAAGTTACTTCTAGTGGGTTGACATAAAAATTTCCTTGTCATCCTCCATTCCTTCTGGTTGCAATAGCAAATGCTTATTTATATCTTCTCCCTCTCTTCTGCCACACTCTGTATAAAATGCTGTTATGTTATTTACAGTTCATGATTCCTCAATAGAAGACTGACTCATTTTTTAAATACATACATACTCTGGCTTCTAGGTGATAGAGCAGAAAATGTCACAGCCTCTCACACACTCCCTACATGGAACTGAAGTGCCAAAGGAAGCCAGTTTGGTTCAAGAACTCTGACACACAGACTGGCAAATGGAAACCTATACTTCCGAACCAGGGGCAACATCTGATCAGTACAAGTAATAAAACTACCTGCTCAAGGAAACTGGCACTGGTGACAGCTTCTGCCATATGCTTCTCATCTGATTTTAAAACAGACTTGGTATTTTCGACCAAGTCACGTATGTCTGGGCTCATGCTGCAGGACTGCTCAAGGATCCACGCCACACGCCGTTTAGTGTCCATGTAAGAGTTATAGTCTATCAGAGACTGGGGTCTTCCCCTTGAAGCTCTGGCTCCTGAGCTCTTCCGCAAGGTGACAGCATTCAGTGGATTTACATCATTGAGTGTTGCAGTTTCACAGCTGAGCACTGTCCCTGAAGACAAAAAACAAGTAAACAATCCGCATAGTTCACAGTATTCCCAGAGATTCCCCTCTTCATTCAATGAGGATGCAGTACATGGTTTAACCTTTTTAACCTTGTACAACTTGACGGTCTGGCATGGTCAGGGTGGCTTGGAAGGCTCACTCTAACAGATTTACACAAAATGCCTGTAAAACAGTCATACGTAGCTATGACTGAGTGCATATTACATGTCAGCGTCTAGAGGGACTCTTCCCCTTTGGAAAGCTCTTTGTCATTTTGTGTACATTTGGTTCCTTTCTCTTGTTTGGCATCTGAAGAGACCTGAAATGCCTGTTGAGTGTTAATGTAAACATAAAGGTATAAAGATTTTATGATGTCTCCTAAACTCTTTATAACTTTTAGTTATTAGCAGTCAAGAGGACAAATTGTACCTGAAAATCACTACCTGCCAAGCTGGAAGCTAGTAATACTACAAAGTAGAAATTCAATGAGAAAAACCGGAACAATTTAACCCACACCAAAACATTCAAAATTACCTTGCAAGGACTGAACAAAGGGCAATACAGAATCAATTTTGCTGCCTTTGGTGAAAAATTCACTGCCTTTGGTATAAACAAGTTACCAAATTTTGACCCCATTAAAAGGAATAAAAAACCCCATAACCACACCTACAGATTATTCAAGAAGCTCTTTAATGTCAGCTTCAGACCAAAAAATGTTAGGAGGAGACACAAAACTTCCCAGCAAGAAGAGCACTACCTCGAAGCAAATTCCTCTGTTGCAGTGAGTTCCTATTCTGTAGCACTGGTGACTAACTCAGACCTAACTTCAGGAACACCAACCCTAAAGCTTCCAAATGCTCCTGACATGGGGTCTCTGTACAGTGGAAGCACTCCGCTTTCACAGCTATGAATAGGTTCTGTGTCATGTAACTACTGCTTCAGCAGCAGATTCTCTGGGCTGCCGTGGTGGAAGTTGATAGGAGGACAAGAAAAAGCACATGATACAGCAGAGCCATGAAAACATTCCACAAAAACAGCAAGTGTAATCCAGGCAGGCATGCTCCCAATATCCAAAATAAATGGCTGTTACTAACATGCCCCATTGGCCCTTACATTTTGAGTGCTGGTATGTATCAGCAGCTCCTGTTGAGATTCCAATATCCTCTTGTAAAAACTGCAAGACCCCTGACAGGTGCGTTTTTCAAGATTGTCAGCAGTATCCCAGACTGTGTAGTCACATTAGCAGTTTTCCCACAGCAGCAGAATTAGATCACTGACACCAAAGCAATTTCATCAACTCTCCACCATGGGTTGTGTTGAGTTCCTGAGGGGTTTTTTTTGACAATATTAAGCTTGATAAAAGGGAAGCAAATGTATAGGCTAATACCAAATCCCCAAGCCAGTTATGATTTATTGCTTACACTGACAACTGCACTTGTAAGACTTTAGATGTCAGTGCACCAAGGAACCCTGTGTGTTCTCTCTCCTCATTTTCCACTACCCCTCCCTCATACCCAGACCCTGCTACAGACCCTGCTCCCAGATATGAAAACCTGAAGAGGGGCAAGATAAGGAGTTAGGTGGAGAAGGTTTGGCAAAGCACAGAGTACTGTTATGTAGGTGCTCTTTTGGGAAACAGCAGCTGATTTCTGCAGGTACGAGGTTCGATGTACCGAACTTCTGAAAAGTTCTTTCAAAGAACCATTACACAATCACTAGCAGAGAAAACAGAGTCACCTTGAGGCAGCTGGCAGTGCAGGAGCCCACGGTCACTTTTAGAACATTTCCACAAGGGATCGAAGGCTCTTCTGTTCCTTCCTGCAGGCACACAGCCTGCATTTGAAGGGGAAAGGCTCACTCTGCTGGAAGGCTCCTGAATTTCTTCAGCTGAATAATAAGAAACAGAAAAGCAGAAGTAGTCAAAATAAAGCTGAACTGTAGAAGCCATTATTAGAGACTGATTTTTTCCCTCCATCTGTAATAGGAAAATCTGCAAATCTGTAATGACAGAGGTCACAGAGGTCTAGAGGAGCATGTATGCGTGCACAGACCCACACTTACTGAACAGTAACATTCGTCTAAACATTGTTAAAATGTTTGCAAAAACCTGTTCAGCCTTATGCAACTGGAGTACCAAAAGACTACAGTCTAGTACACCCTAGTAAAAAAACACCTTAAACTACCTGATCAGAGAGAAGGGAACTACAGCTTTATTGGCAAAGAAACTAAATCTCACAGAGCCCCAAATCCTCCTGCTTATAGGCAGTTGTACCAAGATACGACACCACACAGTTAGAGAGATTGGTCACCTTTTGCAATTAGGGATCTTGTAAATCAGTGACCAGCCCGTAAAAAGAAATTAAAATCTTTACTTATACTTTCCTGCATTCTTGTGATATGCTATATCCTTCCCACTTTTTCCTAGGAGTGAAATTATGTGCTGCAATTTAATGATCAGGACAGGATGCAGCTGTGTACATTTCTCACTAAGCTTGGTTCTGTACCTCCATCTAGTGGCACCTGGCATATTACAAAAAACAATTTTATTGATCATTCAGGAGTTTAAAAATTTGTAGTTGGCTGCCCTTAATTGGATGCCACGTACCCATCACAGCCACACCCCTCTGCAACTGGACAGGGGAGAAAAAATATAATGAAAGGCTCATGACTTGAAATAAGGACAGGGAGAGATCATTCATCAATTACTATCACGGGCAAAACAGATTCAGCTCGTGGATATTGGCTGATTTTACCCAAAAATGAGCGCAGAATAATGAGAAGTAAAACAGATTCTTAAAACCACCTTTCCCATCCCTCCCCTGGGCTTCTGCCCTGCAACAGCACAGGGAATGTGGGTTATGGTCAGTTCACGGCACGTTTCTGCTGCTGCTCAGGGAGAGGAGTCCTTCCTCTGCTGCAGCGTGGGCTCCCTCCCACAGGAGACAGTTCTCCAGGAACTTCTCCAGCTTCAGTCCATTCCACAGGCAACACTTCTACATAAAATGCTGCAGTGTGGTCACTCTTCCATGTGGTCAGTCCTGTTCCAGTGTGGGTTCCCCCAAAGGGTCACAAGTCCTGCCCAGAAACCTGCTCCAGCATGGGCTCCTTGCTCCAGTGGTGTGCAGGTCCCTGCCAGGAGCCCGTTCCAGCACAGGCCTCCCATGGGTTCACAGCCTTCCTGCACACACCAGCTCCAGTGGGGATTCTCCATGACCTGCAGGTGGATCTCTGCATCCCTGTGAACCTCCATGGCTGCAGGGGCACAGCTGCCTCTCCATGGGCTGCACCATGGGCTGCAGGGGAATCTCTGCTCCAGCACCTGGAGCACCTCCTGCCCCTCCTTTTCTCCACTGGCCCTGGCATTTGCAGGACTGCTTGTCTCATATATTCTCACTTCACTCTTCTCTGGGCACCAATACATCTGCAAAGTAACTTATTTTCCCTTCTTAAATATGCTGTCACAGACGTGTTACCGTGATTTCTAACTGGTCCAGCCTTCTCCAGCAGCAGGTCCATCTTTGGAGCTCTGCCAGGCATAGAAGAAGCTTCAAACCTTCCAGCAGCTTCCTTGCCACTACCAAAACTTGGTCATGCAAACCCAGTACAAAACCAAATTCATGTAAATAGGCTTTTATTCGGAACACAGCAAAAATCTGTAGTGTCACTCTTAACAGGTATGCAGCAGTGGCAGGAGCATCAAGAAAATTTAGGTTTTGATGATGTACTTGTTGAGGACAGCACCTTATCGTGTACACAAATGCAAATTAAAATCTCTGAAGAGAAGAAAGAGTGACACAACCTATATAAAACAGATACCAGCCTAGAAAATCAGAAGGTGAAGCCCAGCAACAAAATATGGCAGACCAAGAGTCATGCAGGATTAAAGAGTCCATCACCAATCTAAACTTTTCAACACCAGTGGAGCTGTGTTAGAAGTAAGCCCTGGAGATACAATGCTGCTGTTACTTTGGAGAGGTTGTTTGGTAATTTTTTAAAATTTTAAGCAGATTAATCAACAGATTTTATGATCTTAAGATAATCCTTAATAACATTAATGTTTCAGAGAGATAACTGTCTTATGGTGGTGTGAACTGGAAATGCGTACACCTAGTTTGTGATGATACAGAGCAGCTACAACACCAGCAAAATGCTGCATTGCCTGCCTACTGCAGTCAGCAGGGAAATCCCTTTCTGCTTCACAGGAGTGATTATGAAGTCAGTAAAACAGTTTTAGCTGGCACAGAGAATCTTTAGAGCTCCTCCTGCAGACAGCAGCAGGATTCCCCTCACTCTGCTGGCAGAGTAGCCCACAGCTCTAACTTCCACTAGGAGCTATGCTCAGTTATCAGCCCTGATGATGCCAAGGGAATCACAGCATCATACACAAATGCCCTGGCATGGCAGCCTGCCAGTATAAACTGAAAGATCAAGTTTTATTTATGGACTGCTACACTGCATCAGCTGAGACCGCCCACAGACTTCCTCTGCCACAATTCCAACACGAGCCCCCCCTTGTATTTCCCTCCTGCAGTGGTTTAACCCCAGCAGGCGCTCAGTCCCTCGCAGTCACTCTCCCTCTTCCCCAGTGATATGGGGAGAAGAACTGAAGGACAGAAGTGGCAGAACTCATGAGCTGAGATAAGGACAGCTGGAGTGAGGTGGGGAGGGTAATAACCCAAGAAATTCAAGGGAAAACAAGGGAAGCAAAAGCAGTCACTCACCACTGACTGATCCCAGCCAGTCCCTGAACAGTGACAACGCTGGAACACTCCCCTCAGGTCACAAATCCAAACCAGCACCATAGGCTCCTATGAAGGAAATTAACTCCATTCCAGCCAGATGCAGTATACCTCTCCAAATTTAAATAAAGGAAGAGATACAGCTCCGAGTATTTCTTTTTTCCTAAACTCTAGGAAGCCCTGGCATCTAGAAGAAGCAGCAGGGTTAATTTTCTTTCTTAAGAGGCTTACTTTCTGTTTTTATCTGAATTTAACAGGCAGGCTGTTAACTAAATGTTTCTTTACAGATATTTAAAAAAATACTGGACAAACCAGTTAGGATCATAGAGAGGAGGGTACCATTTGCCATATGTGCTCAGGTAGGTCTGATTCTTCCAAAAAAAATTTTTAAGCACAAGTGCCTCAAACAATGTGATTTCAGAGCCTTTTTTCAAAACAAAACAAAACAAAACAAAACAAGACAAAACAAGACAAAATACTTTCCTGACAGTCCTTCCCTGCAAGTGCATTTTCTATGCTATTTTTTTCCAGTTTCCAGTCTCCGTAACTTTTTAACGTGTATCCTTGTATTTGATAACCTCTTTTTGTTTGTGCACAGGAGCTCAGAGAAAGCAACAGGAGTTTTATCAGTAAAAAAGCCTTGAGCAAGAAATCCAGAGGAGCTGTAGCAAAAGGCTTCATTCTGATTATCACAGCTGGCAAGACACCATAAGCACCCAAGTGCTTGTTTTCAGAGGTTTCAGGCAGACAGTCAGAGTTTAAGGGGATTTTGACAGAGCTGACATTTGGCTAAAGTATGACTTTACACAAATTCTTTTTTTCCCCTGACTCCACATAACTGGAACAATTCCAACTGATGCAGTTCAAACCCAAGCTTTTTTTACAGTTTAGTAAGTAGGTTGGCAGAAGACAGGTCGCAATCAAATAAAAGATTTGGGGCTTGCCCCCTGCCCCAGTCTTTACTCTGTTGTGTGGATATCGCAAATGAGACAATCTTGCCACAACGGCCAGGTCCTAATGAAAACTGGAACACATTTCATGGGCTGTGCTGGAAAAGCTGGAAGTTAATGATGTTCAGCCACAAGCCTACATTGCAACAAACATTAGGCTAAAAAAACCTCTGAGCCGTAGCCATGGTTTTCTAAAACAGTGCAGAGCAAACCTGATGTTGTCTCTAACAGAAGGTTAGCTATCTCCCGTACCAGGATGCAGAAATTATTCAGTAATTCTTCCAGTTCAGGCTGGATAATGGAGTAATTCCCAGTTGAGCTCCACACAGTACTGCAATACTCAATCCTTATCCTATTTTTACCAGCAACAAAATGTTAACAGGCTCCATCACATACACTCAACAAAGAGAAGCACCGGAGGTGGACATCATTTCTTAAAACATATGGATATTGTGTCAAAAACTAACTTTTAGGTTGCTAAAAAGGAAACATATCCTTCTTTCTGTATCCTGCATGAAAACAACTTGCTGTGCTTTTAAACATTTTAAATATTAATCCTTGCTCCCACCCCAAAACAATCATGATTCTGTATTTCTGGTTTGGAGTATGATGGCTGGCTGTCAAAGAACTAATGCTGCTGCTGTTGCATTAAGTTGTATGTGTTGGAGGGAACATTCTAGAACAAACATTAAAATTACTTTTTACCTTGAGAGGACTGCCTTTCACTTACTTCCCCTGAATCAACCTCTTCCACACCATTTATTTGAAGTGCACCTCCCTGGAACAGAATACAAAAGTTGAAAAATCACAAGTCACCACCTTTCTCTGGCATTTCCAAGAACTGCAACATCCACCTTAGAAATGGAATACCTGTGTGATATGACTTCAATCCCATGGCAAAATCAAGAGACTGTGTGATATGACTTCAATCCCATGGCAAAATCAAGGCCAGTGCACAGTGAATTTTATCCTACCCAGTATTTTCTGGTGAAAAGTGCCTGTCTTTTGAAAACACCAGTGAAAAAGGATGGCCAGTGATGCAAAAACCTTGACCTAGTCCCTCATGGGAGAAGTAAGCAAACTAAAGCAAGGAGGTCTTTCTAAATAACCTGCAACAGGTGCACCACATAGCTTTCTCCTCCTTCTCCCTGTGCCTGGGTTGTTTCCCAACTGGAGAAAGCTTTACAGTTCGACAGATAAGTGACTAATTAAAATCTTTGGTGAAATTTACATTCATAATCAAATGTATCCTCCTGATGTACACATACCATGCTTGAGTGCAACCTCTCCCTTAGAGTGGAAAAATCAAATCAGACATTAAACTCCTGTGGCTCATACCTGCTCAGAGCTTTTTACGCTGCACACAGTTTCGTAGGGTGGAGGTGGGTCCAGAGGGCAGTACACTTCAACCCCTCTGATTCGTGTTACAGAAATACAGTGCAGTGAAATCACATCAGAGACAGGTGTGCTGCAATAAATAACACAGATCAAATCTGTTAGTAGGGTCTTCCAGCTGCAGAAAAAATCACCTGTTACCAAACCCCACTGGCTTTCTGTGCCAGCTGAGATTTTGGGATGCACGTCACAGATACTGGAGTCGCCAAGATCTGCAAGACCTTGTCTCAGAAGATGGCAGGAGTAATGCTCAGTTTAGCTCCTCAGGACGTGCCTCTCTAGTGTGTTCCCCAGAGTTCAAACATCTTTGGGCCTAGGAACCCATTCCAGTTTTACTTCAGAGATTCAGTTTTGTGACAAAAAATTAAAGTACAGGTTGTCATTCAAAATGTGACAGCCTATCTCTGAGTTTTGTGAACCACTGAGTTCTTATTCATAACCTAAATTCAAGATCTTCTGACCTGGTGCTTTATGCTCAGACACAGCTGCACAGAAAAAGCCAAATCCAAACTAAAGGCTGTTTTTTGTGAAAGGCAACAATATTATGGTTGACCAATTCCAAAGGCTTGTATGAGGCAAATGCACCTCATGGCTAACCTTACTCCTCAGTTTCCAAAGAGCTTTCTGAAAACTTTACCACACCAGGAATCCCAAAGACCTTCTACTGCAACATCTTTCTCTTAGGAGGTAGCTCTGAGAAGGAAGAAAATAGAATAGTGCCTAGAGAAACCTTAATTTTGATAAGCATACATTTACATTGCCCCAGGAACACTGTAACAATGTGGAGGTCAACAGCAGAGCCGGCATGAAGACCTTCCCAACACAATCCTCAGAGAAGTCTATGACCCAAAACGCCTCAGCTCTTCTCTGCATTTTTTTTTTAAATTTTATTTGCTGATCTGGCGCTGAGCAGGAATCTCAAGAAACACACAGAAACCCATATTTTGTTCTCTGAATTTTGTTCAGGTTTCATTCACCATCACTAATGGATGCTACTCTCTACAAAGCAAGTCATTCCTCACAGAATTTAGGGCTTCTCTGGACAATGGCTGGATCGAACAAAGATGATCGTGAAAATTTTTTTCTTGCAAGCTCAAAGGAAAGGGCAGAATGACAGAAATGCCTATGGAAGACCACTTGCACAGACAGGAAAAGAATAAAACTTTCAAAATGAGAAGCTGGAAGCCCTCTCATTAAAAGCTTCTGTGAAGGAAATGGAGGTAATGCACAGAGAAATCTGAGGAAAGGAAAGCAGATATTATTACAGCTGGCCATTGTCTTTTTTAGTCTTTAAATTGGGGAAAACAAAATATGCTAAAATAGTTTTTAACTACAATCTACTTAATCTAATCCAAAAGGCTTCAGAATAATTCTGGAGACGGATCCTCCATCAACATTACTTCCTAACATTTTCCTAGTATGTTGATGCTGAATTTTCATTCAATGTAAGCCACAAAGTTATATACATTTTGAATCTTGGTTTTGTTTTTAAACACGCCTGATCTGCCTACCCAGCTCAGTCATACCTTGAAAATTAATGCTATGTCCAACAAGTATGGTAAAACATTACATAATATGCAACTGGAAAAGCACTCCCTGCAGTCCCTTAATTGTAATTTCCAGGAAGTACACAAACAATAATTTAAACTGAACTGAGGCAGAGTTCTAGGCCTTGCTGCCCAACATGCATTATCACTTCCCTTAATTTACACGTCTCGTGACGCTTTCATAGAACCACAGAATATCCTGAGCTGGAAGGGATCCACAAGGATCAAAGGCCAACTCCTGCTAAACTTCACATTTTATTTTTCACCTGTAAACTCAGCTCTCACTGTTTGTTTTGTGCCAACCCTGAAAAATAATGTAATTGCTATTTTTTAATGTATGAAATAAGAAGAGGTAGGAATTGACCAGACACTTGAAGGGCTAGGGTTTTTTTTTTTTGCTAATAAATACAACAAATGCAAAAGTTTCCCATGAACAGATGAGCAAACAAATTGTGTTTGATATTTGGACTCCTGATGTTTCAATTTAAAGAGTGGCAGAGAAGGCCTGCCCATTCCAAACATATCTTTGCCACAAATTTTGATGACTGTAGTATTTCCCTTTTCAGGGGATGTATCTGTCTCGGAGCTTGCAGACTTGTGCCCACCTCCCTGGATGTGGTTCCTGTCACACCTTCCTTGCACACAAAGGTTTGGGATGCAGGGAGCAGGGAGCTCAGCACAGAAAGCCAGGGCACAGGATCTAAAAGGAGCTCAGGGTACAATCCAGGAAGAAGAAGCGTGAGAAGGCTGACTGAGAAATAAATGGCCACATCCCATCTCAGCCACTCCTGTAGGATTCAGCCTGGGCTGAGTCATTATTACTCATCTTCCAAAAATAGAAATAAAGCCAGTCTGCTGCTTTAACTTTGCACTCCTGTGTAACTACCCAGAACACCCTAAAACAAGTAGCCTGACTTCAGAAAGATGTCATCATCAGCATTATTATCAGCCTGTAATTACTATTATTACTTCAGCATTACTATCAATCAGTTTTAACATAGTCACAGGCAAGGTAGCTACTCAATTTCAGGCCACAGAAGCCTTAAATACTGTTCAGCAGATCCTCCTGTGCCCAAAAAAAATTTAAAAAACCAAAAAGTATATATACTGCTGCTGGGAAAGAGATAACCATCCAGAATGACATGCTAGACAAAGAACAACTGGTCCATTTTAAAGCAGGAGAATCTGAAAAGCATAAATAATTATTCTTACAAAGAGTTCATTATACATTCCGCTCTGTTGTCATAAGCTGCTTGAACCAAGATTTAAATAGAGGATTTCAGTAGTATTTTGAATTCAAATCCAGCCTCTGGTGTTTCAGACAACCTGTTCATTCTAAATCCTACTGTTGTGCCATGTTATAATTTTCTAGGCAATCCCAAAATCTGTAATTAATTCTGCCAGAAAAATATAGTCTTGAAAGTCATGCGTGCTATTTCTGATGAAACAGTGAAATAAACTAAACACTCCTGCTCACTGCAAAAAGGAGGAATTTTGAACAAGAGTCATACAGTCTGCTTGAGCACCGTAATACTTTATGTATAAATATTGTATGTTCAGAACAAAACAATGCAGCCCTGAAGGCACTTGAGGTAGTAGTTCATGTTCTGACTCAGGTGTTTATTATTTATCAGTAAAATAATAAACTCAACAGTCTCACAACCATGAGTTCAGCAGCTTTTCATTAGCAAAGCACAAAATGGCTAACAATCTCTTGATACAAGGTCTTTCAGGACTAAACTATCCAATTAATGACACCTAGATTATTTTCCCTTTTAACCTAATGACTGAACCCAAAGACTGATCCCAAAGGTCCACAATGTGGACTTTTCTGCTCAATTACAAAACATCACAATTACAGATCCATGAAGAAGGAGGAAGAAGAAGGTAAAGAATAACAACCTGTCTCCACCCTAAAACCTCCATCTCACTTCATATTTATTTCTATATTCTAAAATCCCAAACTCTTAAGTTTTCTACCCTGTGATATTACACACTTCTAACCAACTACAGACCCATTATCTCAGCACTATCAATGAATTTTGGAAGCCTTCTTCACAGCCTCAGGTCAAACGCAGTGTTCTATTGTGGGTCTGTGCCTATAAGCACAGAAAGTTTAAAATTCTCAGCGTCCAGGATTCCAACAGCCCCACTTGAGTCATAAACTAGTAAAGCCAACCTGCAAGTTACTTTTAAGAGCAAATAACCTGCAAGGTAAGGGATTACTTTTCCAAGCAGTGCAGTCAAAACACGCCCTTCAGTCAGCCCTAAGAACTCAAGAGGGAAAGGAAAGTAACTCAGGTGATAGGGGGAACACCATTCAGGGTCTCTGGCTTGCCAAATGGTTGTGTCTGGCTTCCCACTGCTGTCCTCACTGCACCTGACAGTATCGTGTAAGTCTTCAGCTGTGCCAAGCAGGAGTATTTCTCTCACCCAGAAATAGTTAGTAAAGAATTTAAACTCAAAACCACAAAATCTTACCCCCTTATCCACACTGTATTTATGCTTTTTCCAAACGAATAGGTTTTTGCTTCTTCTTTTTTTTTTTTAATCCCCCTAAAATCACAAACCTTTTTCACAGAGAAAACAATCATAAAAAAAAGGATAAGGCAGTGTTTCAAAAGACACTAAAAGAAAGGGAGTGTACAGTTTTACCTGTGACTTTGTGGAGTACAAGAATTAAAAGTTGCAAAATAGGAGGGAGGTGGGACAGGGGGGACAAAGTCATCCGGATCCAAATTGTGATCTTCGCCTTCAATCTCACATTCATCCTATTCAAACAAAACTTGCGTTAAAACCCTTCTGGGCTATAAATATTGAACAGTGTAATCTGTTAATATTGTTTGTAGCACTCTCGATGGCAGGCAATGCCTGGTGCTCACTTACTGTGCAGGACCCTCTTGATGCCAGTGTCAGCCAGTAATGCAGGGCAGCTGCCGCGAAGCAAACTGTGGCGGTGAGAGCATTCAGGGCACTAACAACTAAGAGAACCTTCTGAAGAACATGAAGAATATTGAAATTAAAAAAATAAACCATGGTATTTGTAAATGTAAAAATAATAAATAATAATACAAAACTAAAACAAATAGAGAAAATACAGGGATGATCATGGCAATTACTTCTAAAAAATGTATGGGATGAAGTCTTCAGCACAATCTTCAAGACTGGAGTAATTTGCAAAACCTTGTTTTACACTATTTATTGTCCTGACAGAGAGCTCCAGAAGGGTTTAATACAGCTCAGATGTGATTTATCCATCTACTCATACAAGAATTATAACCTTTGTCATATCTTCTCTGTAGGAAATACAGATTCACAATGATCTACATTAAAGACATGTCAAAGCCTTCTGATATTTGAAGATGGTATTGGTTGGGAGTTTTATTTTAGCAGTTTGTAAGCCACAAAAGGCTGAGAAGTGCAAAAGACTAACAAAAGCATTAAATCATTAGCTAATCTTTAGATCTCATTTACCCCTTTAATCTTGTGTGGATTTGACAGCAGTTTTGGTGGAACTAAACACAAAAAACAGGCAAGAACTGCTTATTGGCTTAGCCATGCACTGGTCAAAACCCAGACATGAAACCCTCCCGTCATGTTACAGTACCATGAAGAGTTTCTGACTGACCAGAAAAATAACAGTTTTTCCCAGTGAACACTTCAGCTCTGCACTGCAGCATACGCATGGACATTATAAAAGCAGTGCACTGCACCCGCTGATGGATGTGCAGGGTACCTTGAGAACAAGGCGAGCAGCACTGCACGACTTCACGTGGTATAGCTTCAGTACAGCCTTTGCTTCTGTGCAGGTAGTAGCATGGCGTTCTTCACAGCAAAAACAAGTCTTGTTTTCATCCATATCCATCTTTAAAGAACGAAACTATACTTTTTAATTGTTTTATGCAATATTTTTACCTGCATAATATAGAACCTATTGTCTTAAACTAAGCCCATGACCACAAAGCAGACTGAAAATACAGGATGATATAATTGAACAGTTTGGTATGCCAATGACTCCTGCATTATGAAGCTGTACTATACACTTCTTATTTGAGAGAAAGCGTTGTGGGTAATGTATTAACACACTTAAATACAACTTATTGTAATCAAAGCTGCACTGATTGCTAAGCTATTTTACTACTCATGCTTTTTCCAGTGCATAACTGCCTAGAAATTATTTCTCTGACTGTTGTGCAAACCACTCTATATCAACTGTACGCATTTTCTATGGTTCAAGAACATATCTTGCATTTCTATGAAAGGACTGAAACCACCAACTCTAATTTCAATGCACTCAAATCATTAATAGACATATTTGTACACCACAGGTTTTTGTAACTTTCACTTTCAAATTAATCTTATCATCTTAGTTTTCAAAGTAGAAATTCAATACTTCCATATCTAGAAATAATTGAGATTTTAGCTTTTAAACTCTGGAGTCACAATGCTGACACTCTTCCACCTATAGAAGCCGTTCTACAAAATAACTGATGATTTCAGGAATGTCTTTTTGCTCTACCCTGTATTTCCAACTACAGACAACTCAGAAATTCCTGCAATATTTGGCCACTTCACCTGGAATATCATCATTAATTCTTATTATGGCTTTGGTACAGTGATACTGGATTAATCTATATTCCCACGGGTTTATAATCTTGGACTCTCACCACAATACGTCTACGGGCATGTCAAGGAACCAACAATAGCTTTCCCGAAAGAATAAATGAATGAAAATATATATTCAAAGATCTGTTCCACTGGCCCACAAAGTCCTTCAAGCTTTTACACACAATCATCTTCATCAACAAGTGACTCTGTACTGTATCCTCAATTTCGATTATTCCGCAGTTTCCAGTTCATCAATAGTGATTCTTCTATTTCTCATGACAGCCACTTGTGAAAAATCTTTTGCATTTTGTCCAGCCTTGTACAGACTGCATCTTCCTCAAGCAGAAGTGCTCTGAAAAGCTATGACTTAATCTACCTTATTTTTTTTCTCACATCTTCTGCTGTAAGGTATCACAGAATGGTCCTTCCCAGGTGAGGTAAAACAGGAAGAATAATCCCACCCACACATTATAATGAACTGAACATTTTGTTGGTAGCTCACCATTACCCACATACAGGCTTTTTTCAATGGTTTATATTTTTTACATTACTACAAAAGTCTCTTGTGCTAGTTCTTTAATTACTTGCAACTCTACATCAGGACATTTTGTGATCTCAGCACAGCAAGTTAACATGCCATAATGAGAAGAAATCCATGTAAATCAGTATGTGTGCTTACCAAATGGCATCTGGGTAGCCCAGACACAAAATGAATGCCTTGACATCCTAGTATTAATCCAATCCCGTTCAGCATAAAACTGATCATAGACAGCAGAACAAACAGGTTAACCTGGAACACCAAAACAAAGTTATCTGCAGTGGGCACAGAAACCCAACTCAAGGAACCTATTACAGAGCAAATCCCATTCACAAGCTGAAGCTGGGAATGACACTCTGCTTTTTCAAAACTGCCCATGACTTCAGTGCCCCAAGGTGTCTTAACCTATTCCCAAAATTCTTTGTCTTCTCTCTCCTTATTCTGGACTAGTTATGAAACTATTGAAAACTATTGTAATAATAGTACAAGCAACCGAAGGTTTTGTTGGAGTGCAAAGTATGATCTGCAAGTTGCCCATCTTCCAATGTGTGTCACACTCTCCCACCAAGTTTAACTCTCAACACATTTAGAACAGTAAAGAAACCTGAAGAGGAAGAAACATCTTAAGACAACATTCACTCTGCACACTTCCAGAATTATTCTGCAGCCCAGATATATGAAAAATGTTCATTCCAGTACAATAAATATGGAAACACTTCAGAGACTTGAGCTGCATGATTTTATTTCCTCCTGGCTACTAAAACCAGAATATTAGGAATTCAGATAATACTTTCTTATTTATAAAACACGAGAAATTGAGCAATGGCAAGAGCAATAAATACATGAAAAAAGGACAAGCAGAAACAGTGGACAAAATGATGTGTTGCTTTCACCTTACAATCTACGCTTACATGACTTTGGACATGGATTTTGGACATAGGAAAGAACCATCCCTGTCCCCATTCATACAGGCAAAAATATCCTGTGCTTCAAGAAAAAGTGCTGGGTAAGACTACTACTTCAGAGGCAAATAAAGGTAAGATTCCTCTTTAAGCATTCAATCCCAAAAAGCAAGTATCATATTCTTAAGGTCCTAAAGCATCCTTCTTAATAACAATCTGCTCACTCAGATTTCTTTGTAGCAAAATGGTCCAAGTTAAAAAAGCAGGACATCACAAAATACAGAGGAAGAGAAGGACACTATGAGGGACATGAGTTCAGTCCTGCTCCAGACTTACAGAAGATCCAGCAATAAGGACTTCCTAAACATGCAAAGAACACCATGGCCTTCCAAATAAATTCATCTGATGTACCATGGTTAGCTACCTTGAATCTGAAGCAGAAAGAGGTAACAGCTGTTGCACAAATTATGTTCCCATTTTTTGAGGTTCAGGGAAATAATCCCCAATGAATGGACATGAGCCAAAGAGCATTACTATGCAAGCAAGCTAAATTTTCAATTACAACATTACTAGTTTGATGATAACATTATCCTGTAAGGTACATTTTAACCCCAGAAACCCCAATAATTGATGTAGCTATTAGTGAATCTCTGGAGAGAACTGGGACTACTTTGTGTTAGACACACTAAAAACAAAATAATTTCTAAATTATTAAGAGGAAGAGCATTTTGTCCTAGCTTTTTACTAATCACAAAACCACAGATAAGAGGGGTTTTGTTCTAGAAAGGACTGAGTGTCTTTTTTTTTTTTCCATACAAACACAAAATCTAATGTTTTTAAAAATTACACCATGCTCAGCATGTAAATGAATGAAACCCATTCCTTATGCTTTTACCTAAATTATCTTACTTACTCTTCTAACAAAAAACTACCTTGAGAAAAAAAAATTGGTACACCCAGGTATTTCATATAAAGCAAACTTTTCAACTGGGTTCAACACAGGGCACCAATAATTAGGAAATAGCCAGTATTTTAAGTGAAACAAAAGCTGTTTCAACATAAAGTATACTTATAGTACAACTCTCATTGAATTACATTAAGAAAAACAAGAGGTATGTTTGTCCTTTTTCAGCTGATGACAAATGGAGAAAAGAAGTTACATGGCCAAAGTAAAGAAAGATTAAAAAAGCAAGCTATCAAACTCACATTTAAATTGTCTCCTGTGGTACAGAAGCTGCAATGGAAACAATTCCATCTATAGCTATATAAAAAGTTACCATTAAAATCAAGACTTCCAACTCAAAATTTTGAAAAACAAACAAAATCATTAATATTTTACTAAAGGAATGCCAGAAATCAAAGAACAAAGAGAAAGAGCATTATGATAAATATGCAAAACAAGGATGACACATTCTGCATTTATGTTCTAATAAATTCTATCACATGCAAATATAATCTCGATCTGTTTTTTATTATAGAGTATTTTTGACTGAATAATCCAATATCCAGAAAATCCTGCCAAATGAGCAGGAGATAAGAATAATTCCTCTAGATTCAATCTAAAATACTACCATGATCTGAGCCATAACCACAAAATTCTCTACCACACATTTTAACAGTTGACGAGACGTTGTACTTGACTGTCAAGAGAAAAAAATCTTTTTTCTTTCTGCTCCATCACTGGTCAACATTTTTACACAATAACTGAGATTGGAAGGGACCTCTTGAGACCATTTAAATCTAATGTCCTGTTCAAGCAGGTGTCACAACAAGGGATCTGGAAGCATAAGACCCCTTCCATCCGAGAACATGCTATGATTCTGTGACCTACACCAAGCTGTTGAATATAATGCCCAGTTAGTTTTGACTATCTCTACATGTAACCTACACCAGTTTTTAACCACCACAACAGTAAAAAAGTTGTCTTCCATGTCCAGATGGAGTTTCCTATTTTCTCAGTTCTGCTCACAGCCTCTTGTCCTGGCAGCGAGCACTACTGAGAAAGCTTCAGCTCACTATTCTTTGTTCCTTCCCATCAGCTATTAATGGAGATTTCCACTGAGCCTCCTCTTCTCCAGGCTGAACAGCCACAGCTTTCATACCTCTCCAGGTGTTTGAAGGATCACATCCCTTGACCTGCTGGCAAGTCTCTGCCTAATCCAGCCCAGGACACCAGTAGTCTTCTCTGCCACAAGAGCACTTTGCTGTCTCATGGACAGCTTGCTGTCCACCAGGATCCCCAGGGTTTTCTTTGCAGAGCTGCTTTCCACCATGTTGTTCCCTCCTATGCAATAAGGTAATTTCCCTGCGCAGGCAGGACTTAGTTTTCCACATTGCTGAACTTCAAGAGATTCCTTTCAATGCAATTATCAGCCTGTCCAGGTCATTCCAAACGGCAATATTTAGTGCATCAGCCATTCCTTCCAGTTTGGCATCACCCGTGCTGACAGTGCACTCAGATCCACTGTGCAGAGCACTCACTTCAGTGGTACTGGACCCTCATTTTCTACCCCTCAGGCTCAGCCCTGGTCCTTGGCTGGCTCGGCTTTAACCATTGATCACAACCCTCTGTGCCCCCTTATTCAGTCACTCACTGTCCCATCTAACATGTAGTCTGTCAGCTTATTTAGTTACTTATACTCTCCTGCAGACACAAATTTAAACGACTGCTCACCTACGAGTAAAAACAGGGGTTACACTTTATCCCAGCAACAGAAGATCCTACCCAGAGGAGAGAAGTTCTTCTCAATTTAGAAAAAAAAATAGAAAAAGGCAAACATGGTATTTCAAAAACTAAAATAGATGTAACTGGTGTTAACTGCAGTTATAAAAATGGAAACTACTCAAACTATGGCCTTAGTTTGGCTGACGGCTTCATCTTCAGAGCATCAGATACACATGGACTGTGAACAACTGCAGAAAGCTGTGAGGAACCTTCATATGAATTAAACTACATGAAAGTGAAGTGTATGCTATTCATATTCGCTAAAGTCTTGCATGTATTATCTTTTTTTCAGGTAAAAAAGTCCATCATCATGCCTTTTGAGGTCTCCAAGGAAGAATAAATTTGCATAGTAAAGCTTTGACACTATCTTTCATTCTGCATGGGGAAGCTCCTTTTTGTCCTGCTGCTGCTGCCACTGAAGCAAGTATCTAATGCCAGAGAGGAACTGCTTTCACTTAAACAGGCACGTGCAGGACTGATGCCCAAGCAGGCACTTAAATGAAAGAAAAAACAGTTGCTTCAACAACTCTTATATCAGTTTACAGCCAACGTATACTCCTTATAAACATCCTGTAGAAAAGAGTACATCCGTTTATTAATTGCCCACATGCACAGCAGCAATAGCAATAATTAAAACTCATAGGACCTTATTAGATTTCTGTCAGTTGTGAGAGCTATTCACTGTACTGTATGGAAACCCACAATACAACTGTGAACAAAGGAAAGCCCCACATGAAAAGACAAATTAATTCATTTAATAAAAATAGTCACATATTTTAAATGCAGCACTAAAACACCCCAAGTATGAGAGAAAAGCTTTTGCAGCATATAAATGGCTATAAGCCTCTAATAGCTTTTCATAATATGACTCCTAAAAGAGTATTTCTAGTTGCTTATACTGACTTTAAAACCTTTGCATAATTACTACTTATTGACTTAATGCTGGAGTCTAGAGTGTGAGCAAAGAGATTAATACAGAACTATTTTACTTCTAAAATACAGGGAAAAAAGATACTACTACAGTAGTTCTCAAAAGTCAAATGACTGCTTGTTATAAAGCACATGCCTAGGGAGAGACTGGTTTTCAGGGTCAGGGAAGGTAGGGAGCTTCTGTTCACAGTTCACTGTTACTAGCAGAGCTAAAATTTAAGAACGCTACCTGAATGAAATATCTTGATCTATACATTAAATTTTAGTTAAATTAATGAAAATCTGTCAAGTTTGTTTTTTTTTTTCTGTCAAACCCTCAAAGCCTTACATGAAAACAACGGCATGTATGAACACAAAAGCTGCCATGCTAGCAAACAACATTAAGCATGCAGTACTTGATGTAGCTGAAAGCCAGTCACATCCAACCAGCCTGCATTCTTGATCCCATGCATTTTGCAGGCACCAATCTGCTCCCCAGTACTTGCAGCTGCAGCAGTTAAACTGCACAGCACAACAGGCTAGTGTCTTCTTGGATGCTGGCACTCCTTTCCCTTTCATTCAATCACAGCTAAGTCTCCTCTTCAGCAGCAGAACTCAAAGCACCAAATAGAGACCAGAGAGATGCTGAACTTGAAGTCTTTGTTTCAGTTGGAGAAAAAAACCCCAAAACCAGAAACAAACAGTCACCTAAAAAGCACTCTCCAGGGCTGTAACGAATTTGTCCATGACTGAAAGGAAAGGATGCTTCACTACCTAAGGGCTTCTGCATTCAGCAAAGCATGAACAGCTCCTGGCAACTCCTGGGAATGCAACATAAACTCAAATCAGTCCAATCTGGCATACAAGTAAGGACAGACAATACAGCAGCTAGCATGACCTGTCAAAGACATGAACTGCCCTCAAAACATACACAATCAAACTAACAATGGAGAACGGGTGTACTCTCCGAAAGAATTTAAGTTCCTTCAGGTAAAACTAAGATTTGAAGCTGTGTGAAAGGAAGCAGCTTAGGAGCAGAGAGAAAGAAACTGGATTCTAAGCTTGGAAGAAGGCAACATTGAGGAAGATTGAGCCCAGAACAGCTCAGAGTCAATACCCATGTAACTTGGAGGGGTAGGTGGTGAGCTTCCCTTTCCACATTAATGTATTTGGACAGTCCTAAAGAAGAAGAAACACAGGATTGTTAACATTTCCAAGACCATTGAGTCCAGTGTTAACTCAGCATTACCTCAAAGAAAAATCAGCTTCAAAGCACAAGCATTACAAGCTGACTTCCAAAACTGATTGACACTTGATATTGATAACCAGAATGGAAATTCCTCAAACACCTAAAATCAAGGAAGGACTGAAACCAGACTTCTCAGCAGCTGTACTGCTCAAGGCTAGGCCTTCCTTGCAAAGATGTCCTTGAAAATAAATTTCTTAATTTTGCCTTGCAGTACCCTCTCTCAGAGATACATTATTTATCTAGTATCATCTCACATTGTTAATACAGCTGTAAAACAGTGTGGGTGGCAAAATCCAAATATGGCTCTCCATTTTATTTACTAAAAGGCTTTATCACAGCCATCCCTCTTCATGGCTGTTTTTCCACAGATGGTGCTACTGAAGGTCCACTACATCTGTAACCAATATGCTTCCCTTCCTTTCTCCCCGCCAAGGAAAAAAACAAGTGGCTGAAACACCACAGCCCATCCCCAGCCTCATTTCTCACAGCACTTCAGCCATGTGCTTTCCTCAAGCATCAGCAGCACGAGAATCTTGCCAGCACAGAAAAAAACAACCTACAGTCTGGTTCTTTTCTCCTTTATCAGGGCCTTGCATTGAAGTGGCAGCAATAACAGCCTGACCCTTCACAAAAACCCAAACACAGATAGTGAGAAACCACCACTGGGAGTGCTAAGGCTTTACATAAGGAGTTGTAAGAGGAGGACAGTCACAACTGACAAATGGATATGTTTTAGTTCTGAACGAGTTTTCTAGTCTTGCTTATGAACATCATAATTCTAAGCAATGACTGTGTAATGATCTCATTGCTGAGAGATTTAGGAAGCTTGCTTTTACAATTTGTTTAATAGTGCATTAACTCCCTAGAGAAAACATTCAAGTTTGTAGAGAGTAGACATAATAAGTATTTAGGCCAGCATAAATATGCCCACAGAAACTAACAATCTGTCCTTGAAAGACTGTAGCTAGTTTAAGGCATTATTTCCATACCCTCAAGAAGAGTTTAATGTTTATTTATTTTTATTTCCCACATAGAATAGAATATTTCAATTGGAAGGGGCCTACAACAATCATCTAGTTCAACTGCCTGACCACTTCAGGGCTCACCAAAAATCAAAGCACAGTATTAAGTGCATTGTCCAAAATGCCTCTTGAATACCGACAGCTTGGGGCATCAAACACATCTCTAGGAGCCTGTTCCAGGCTTTCACTGCTCTTGTAGCAGAAATGCTTCCCAGTGTCAAGGATTATCTAATCTGGCTATCAAAAATCAAACCTCTATAGAATACACATACAAATAAGAAAAAAACCCCAAACAGTTACATAGAATCACATAATCACAGAATAATTGTGGCTGTAAGAGAGCTGAGGAAGACTCCTGCATTATCTCCTGCTCAAAAGTAGGGTCAGCTGTGAAATCATGGCAGGCTGCTCAGAGCTTTTATCAATTTCATGTCAAAAACTTTACTGCTGCATAATATTCCAGGGCAATCACCTTCAGCATGTGACCATCCTAAAGACCATGTGAAATAAAAGAAGGGATCAAGAATAATTTGTGTTTTCTATTTAAGTAAAACTAGGAAAGGAAAATAAGGTTTATACAAAGGAGAATGTTAAAGAGTGAAAGAGCAACAACATGCTATAGAAACAGCACAGAACACAGGCAGTATTAACACAGGAGTACTGCGCAAGCCTTAGGCAGTTTGAGACTGATAGCATGTACATTTATCTTGATGAAAATATGGTCCTTCTAGACTGGGAGTCTCTATATCCACAAAACTCCTAAAAAATTTGCGCATGTTAACCAATGCACACTGAGAAATAACAATGGATGTTAGGGGTGCTGGCTGACAGCTAGCTGAACATGAGCCAGAGTGTGCCCAGTGGCCAAGGAGGCCGGTGGCGCCCTGGCCTGTGCCCAGAACAGTGCGGCCGGCAGCACGAGGGCAGGGATCAAGCCCCGGCACCGGGCACAGGGGAGGCCTCACCTCGAGGCTGTGCTCTGTTCTGGGCCCCTCACTTCAAAAGCGACACTGAGGGGCTGGGGCCTGTCCAGCCAAGGGCAGCGAGGCTCCTGAAAGGACTGGAGAACATCTCTCATGAGGGACAGCTGAGGGAGCTGGGGTTGTTTAGTCTCAAGAAGAGGAGGCTCAGGGGGGACCTCATTGCTTTTTGCAGCTCCATGTAAGGGGCTGAGGTGAGTCGGGGCCTGAATCTGCTACAGTGCCTGCAATGAGAGGACAAGAGGAAATGGCCTCAGGCTGAGACAAGGGAGAGCCAGATTAGATACTAGAAAAAGCCTTTTTGCTGTTAGGGTGGTCATGCTTTGGAATAGGATGTGCCAGGGAGGTGGTGGAGTCACCATCCCTGGAAATGTTCAAGAGGCATCTGGATCGGGCATTGGGTGATGTAGTTTAGGGGTTTGGGGCAGTGCTGGGTTGACAGTTGGACTGGATGATCTCAAATCTCTCTTCTTGGTGAATCTATGATTCTATCCACAGCTCACACATCTAATCCATGGTACTCCTCACTGATGCCCATGTGGATCTGAAGAGAGCGCTGCAGAAAAATTAAACAACTGCCTTGGCCGAAAAAAGTCTCCAGAAGTGACAGTAAGGTAAAAATTTCTGAGCAAATACACAAAAGCAAACAAAACAAAACCAACCAATCAAATGAAAAAACTCCCTAAACTCACACACAAACAAAAGCAACTCCACAGCTCCTTTTCAAATCCCAACTCTGAGACATTAAGAGCTACACAGCTTCAGATTTCATTTACATGTGGAAACAGCTTACACACCCTGCATAGCAATCTACTCTCACAGCAATGTAATGTCAACTGTACATGAAACTAGCACAGGATCCTGCTGTAAGATGTTAAATTAGCTCTCAAACCCATTGTCAAAAACTAAAAAACTACAACTAAGCTAGGATTTAAAGCCATCTCCTTCATTTCAGTTTAAGCTGCACTACCTTGGAGAACTAAATTACTTATTCTAAGCCAGCATTTACTTATACATAAAAAAAACCATAAAATGTGTGCTTTAAATAACATTAACAATTCTTCCAGACATGGTCCACTTTTGCCCTTACAGGGGACTTCATCCATGCAGGAATGAATACGGCCTTGCACGGTCTTTGACTTCTCTTTAAATAATTATGATTCTGCAATTTGAAAAGAAAGATTCAACACTATTTTTTTGAAAGGAGAAAGGGGTGATTATTTTTTTACCAACAACTATTAAATTAGGCTCTTTTTTTTTTTTTTCTTATGATTTCCTTACAAAGTCTAATCCATACTTACCAAAAGCCGCATTGGCCTCTTCCATGCTGTTAATCCTAAAATTCCACATAAGATTGCCTACAACACAAAAAAACGTGGCATCAGCAAGAAGTAAAGAACTGTTTACAAAATGCTATTTACACTGTTTTTATTACTGTGTTTTGGAACACTATAGCAATGCTTGGAAGATACGAAGATGCACTTTAAAGCAGAGAATACCTATGCTGATGAAGTTCTTTGCTCCTAAGAGCATTCTGTGAAATAACAACCAAATTAAATATGCTAGTTTCTTACTTTTGCCTCCCAGAAAACATGCATGGGGACAAGTAGTACATCAGCAATTCCAACCTCTACATTTGCCTTAAATAACTGCTTTCAGCCAACTATATATTTGTTCTCTGCAACACGGCTAGGCAAATCTAAAAATTGTCCTTTTCGTCCCCTACCTCCATCACCATCTCAGCACTTCATTAACTGCCTACTTCCTTCTTCCCTTTTGCTGACTGTGACCATTCTGGTGAGCTAAAACCCAGAGCACGAACCCTACCAAAATCAATAAAGAGCACCAGCACTACCTCCCTGAAAAGTTTTGCTATTTAATCAGATGAATGCCAGTATCAGCACGAGGAAAGAAGTTAAAATAAAAGCACATTCTTCTGCAACAGCAGTTTTTAGACCAAACTTGCTAAATCACAGAACTGAACCTTATGACTCTTTCTTTACCTTACAGGACCAGACAATTAAGAAATGATAACGAATTGCTGTAGAACTGAAACAAACAGCATACCTGAATACTCTCTCACACAAGAATAGCAACCCTATAAAGAAAGACAAGTAAGTTTCTCAGCATGTCCCGTAAGTCAGCAGCTATACTTTTAACTTGATGGACATTGTGACTAAGCCAGCCAAGCTCCTACCCCAAAAAGAAACAGGAAGACTGGAACAACCAGGAAGTCATCCACTAGTATTTTTAATAAATCCCTTCAGTAACTTCATTCACTTGACATGATCAATCTAATCTAGCATAATGCATATATGACTTGGCCAAAACACCTACTGATATCATCACTGGTGTTGCAAAACCACATACATAACTGCAGTTTCATAACAAAGTATTTTTTGAATTCTCTGACTGCAAAATTTACACATGATTTTATAACAAAGCTCATCAATACTGACGTAATTTTTTTCCTTAATGACAGCAAATTTATTTCATTACATCTGTTCAAGATAAGAAAAGAAAGTCCTTCTCAAAATTTTCCTGGCATGCCCCTCACAAGTCAGCATGTAGCATCCATAATGAAAAGAAAACCAAACCAAAAAGCACCCAACCAGACACAGCAGTCAGCTTTTAAGGGCATCTGCTCTTCCAGGTTGCTTCTGAACTAAAATTTTCACACATATTTTTATACCCAAAAAGTATTTTGATAACTTTTCTAAGTGCACTATTGTTTCAGAAATATAATTTTAAAAACCCCAAACAAAATCAACACCCTTCTTGATTATTAAAAAATACTGAATACCTCTATCTTACACAAGCAATTTTAAAGCATTTTCAAAGCACAAGCATGGTTCTGTGTGCAGAATTCAAAGAATATCCACTGGTTACATAAACTTTTAACCCAGAGTTAGAATCAGAAAACAAAAAGAAACAAAACGAAACAAAAAGGATGAAAGATCACAAGAGAGATACCAAACAAAGTCACTTGGATGGTCTGGATTTCACTCTCCCCGGAAGGACTGTGTACATTCAGGAACAAACACTGCATTATACAGATGAATAGGAACTACTTGATCCCCAAACAACTGCACTGAGCGCATTTTTACAGGTGGTGAACAACATGGCAATTTAATTGAAATGTTTAAAGCAAGGGAAAAGCTGATACTGTTCACACAGGCAGCAGGAGCTGAGTGTCCCAACTCAGTACATGACTTTCTGACTGCTGGAGGGCCCAAACTGGCACTAATCAATCTAACTCTGCTACACTTAATAACTTCTGCTAACTGCTGCCTAGCTTCTGCAATATAAACTCTTGCATACATTACATATTTATAAACCTGTGGGTTTCCATCTCCAGGGCCCAACAGGAGACGGAAAAACTTCTTTCAGTAGTCTTTCCAAAACTGTGCTAAGTCTATCTATTTTTCCCCCAGGAACATTGCTGATTTATCTCTACCTTATGCCTACGATCAAAGGCACAAAGCACAAACATTCAACATCTACACACACAACAATTTTTTAAAATCCTGTGTCCGATAGTGCAAAATAACCGAGTATTTTTTTTTTCTCAAAAATGCACGTCAGGAAATAAGTCCCCTATTTGCTTGTCTCGACGTTTCTAACTCCGTTGGGGTCCTGCAAACATCCTACAAAGCTGTCAGCAAAAAGCCGTCACCCCGTTACCCGGAGGCTGTTTCCAAGCGGTCGCGGGGGAGCGCGATCACGCATCCCTCGGGACAGCCGG